CACTAGCATTACGCTAACATTTGTAAAATAAGTCGTCAAACTGCTTTATCCGTGTGCGCTGTTATAACTAATAATATGTAAGTACCTATTACTTGGTATACAGTGCACAGCAACTACTACTTGGTATACAGTGTACAACAAAGATATTCGTGTTAGTAGATGAACATACGTTGTCTTATCTAAATCCGGGCGCGAAAACCAATAAGTATATACTAATACCTCACGAAAATAAAACTTAAAATGTTGTATATATACTGAAATAATATAAGTCTACCCTTAGTGACTTCTTTATGTTATACGAGGGTAAAACTGCAGGGCACAGCTGGTCTAATATATATAAACAAGTAGTTCATAATTATGTTGACAATCATGTATTAATGAATATTTCAAGTACTATTCAATTAAAGCTGTTTACGGGTATTGGACAGAGGCTAATAATTATGGCCACGCTGAACTCAGTTTTTCGATCCGTAACTTCATTTTGTTCATGATCACCGTTCCCCAAACTGTGACGAGAGGGCGTTTTGTCGCCGCCGTTTAAGCGTTAAAGCGACATTTTCCGCAACGTTTTCCCGAGAAGCGCCTCGTGGGCCGGTTACTTAAGCGGACTTAGGCCTTTCGGGTACGTAGTCAGAGAGACGCAACCGCGAGACGCGCGGAGTCTAGCCAACATTATTCAACTTATGTTACAGTTCGGCTTCTAGTTATTAGTCTGCTCACTGCTGCTTTGATAAGTAAGTAATTAAATGAATAACTTAAATATTCCGTTTTCCGCATAAACGTTTCTACCAAAATGTTAAATAAGGAAGAATACCATTAATTTCAAGCAATATTTAGACATTATTTTCATATTATAAATTCCAAGTTTGCTATAGTAACACTACATCTCTTGCACAACTAACAAGTATGTGTAGTCATAATGCATATCTAATTTCCTACATTAAAAAAAACAACAAGACGAAACATAAAAGCCGTGAACCCTATTCTACGTAAGTCATCTACATTTCGGCGCGTTAACGACTGTCTATAGATCGTCTTTCTGACTCAATGTACAATGGCATATTGTACACTCGTTAAGAGAACAGTAAAAGGGATGTACGTGACGAAGTGTTTTCGCAAATAATCAAACCTACGCGTATTGTATAAATAATTGTAGGAAAGGGTGTGATAACAATTAGGTAGTTTAAATTTACCTAGCGAACACCAACGTAAATTTTGTTATTAATTATATTTATTACCAATACATACTGCTGCAATCTCTTAACATAATCAATAAAAATAAAAAGTAATGTCTAGTCTAGTTTTTCGTCTATTTGCTGATACTCGTAAACGAATCGTCTAGTAAATAACCTTCTTCCACAGCGTACTTACTAAAGCCCGTACTGGTTGATACAAGAACTAAAAGTAACCACTTAGCATTGGATAGGTAATCTTCCGCTGGGGACAGAGAAATTGGTTAAGGGGCTATTACCTCTATCCCATTCCTTGTTTTGGTTTCCTTCCTCCGGCACAGCATCATTCAGAAGAGGAGGCCCAAAAAGGCCGCTGAGCGCTGGGGTCGTGGAAGATTGCGTCGACGTGTTCCTGTGTCCTGGGCCGATTCGACAGAGACAGGGCAACGTGGGTTTTTTTAATGGGTACCAGTTTCCAGGAACTACAGGAACAAAGAAGGTTTCTACTCCCCCGATCCAGTGGCACAAGATGTATAAAGGATTTTACCCACGAAAAAAGGGGTCTGTTTTTTAACATTGTGAGATTATAAATTCAAATTTACTTTATTCTCTAATTTCAGATTAAATGAGAACTCTGTGACATACATATGCCGACATTTGAAATAAAACTATAGTTAAAGAATGTCATGTGCCTAAACACGCCGAGAGTTGCAGCGCATCTAGCATTGATAAAATAATGCTATTAATTTTTTACAACATTGAAATGGACGCATATATATGAAAAAAATAATAGTTCCGATATAAAAAAGGGTATTCAGCTCATTAACGTTCATTCAATAAACTGGCGCAAATACCGCGCCTCGGCTCAAGGCGTCCGCCGACCGCTTGGAGCAGCCGTCGAAACCGTGGCGTAATTTTGTCACCAGCATTATACATGATATTTAGGTTTTGTATGTGTGTCCGCAGAACTCAAAAACTAGTCGATGGATTGACTAGATATTTCTTCACAACATGGCTGTTAAACAGATGTGTTTTATCAGGGACTGCTAAAATAAGAGGACTTTGCACAACGCGTGTCTGATGTGAAGCATCGTACGACCTATGTGCGAGTGATTTGAGGGATAACAGGTGAATCGAAATTTGCCATTTATTTTAAATGTTTTGCCAATCCATTTATTTAAAAAAACGGCACAAGATATTGCCTACTTAAATTATTTAACTGATAATCGATGACAAGAAATTGTTAAAAGCAGAGTTAAATCTTTTAGGTTGTTTTATTTTTTAATACTTGTACTTGAATTTTACTGTCCTTGCTTTAGGTACATTCTAATTTATAAATATGATGAAATCTGATAGCAATATTTTTATGAAATACATTTGATCAGATTGATGTTTTTGTTCTATCAACGTGAAAGTGTTTTTTATGTTAGAAGGTGGCAAGTGAGCAGGCGGTTCATCTGAAAGTAAGTAACAAGTTAACAACCGTCGCTCATGGACTCTGTAACATGACACCCGTAGGGTTGCAGATGCGTTGTCACCTTTTAATGTTTAAATAAGTGGGTTGGTGAGTGACTCGATTTCTAAACTAAACTGTCTTTCGTTATATACTTTCAAATATTCGTGGTATAGAAATAGTTTTATCCATATTTATAGTACATGATTAATCAAGCTTGTTTAGGATGGGAACAGGGTTCCAATGGTCTTCACCTCTGCGGAAAACCTATAAAAATGATTCTAATCAATACTTGCAAATAATTACAAAGTACACAATAAAATGGATTACCCAATTGCTTGGTAAAATAATCTATTTAATTTCTGACAACATCTGTTAAGGGTTTGTGTTCCGTATATGGTTTCCATGGTAACACCGTGATTTTGATCGCTTTATCAACTTCTCATGTGGCTTTTTGACTGTCGGTATGTGCGCGAATCGTAAAAATTTTACTCTCATGATTTTTTTTCAATACACCAAAAGAAGTATAAATTCAAAAATTATTCGTAAAAATTGCTTGAAACTTGTAGAATATTGTAGAATTAGAGGAAAATGGGGTTTTTGATAATTCAATTTTTTTTCTACAGATTTTAAATTTCAGCTTAAGTACAAAATACAAATATTTGAATATTAATTAGTATACTTAATATTAATTTATAACAAGAAAATTCACAGAGATGGTTATGGCAATTTATCAAATGATCACAATTGATTTAATAAATAAATAATAATATCGCTGAAATTGAAGCAGTATTTGACACCGATATTTTGTAATGTATAACTCAATACAGGGAGGCTTTTTTAAAGGTTCCTTAATTTACACAGGAGGTTCAGACTCGGTAGTATAAACTTTTATTGAAATAAAAACAAACTTTTTTATCTAAGAAACTACCATTCTTTTCTCCAAAAAACAGAACTTGTTGACAACATACGTACAACGTACGCAACTTCATAAATTCCTAAATTTTACTGTTCACGCACACAAATGAACTTGTGTGCGCGTTAGTTATGAATGATCGCGCGTAAAATAAATGAGTTGCCCATAAATCACGCACTTTTTGAGATAAATTCAAATGAATGTAATTAATTACTTACGAGTGATTTAAAAATATTTATAATATTTTATATAACATTATTTCTGTCTGAAACAGAATTTCATTTTAAAAAATGGATACACTTAGAAAAGCCTTCCTGTATAAGGCCTTGCTGCAGCCTCGAGAGGTGAGCAGAGCAAGCGTCACCTGCAAACGAGGCGCAGCCCTGACGGGGCCCAATTGGAGCCGGGTCAATGGCCGCGCCGTGTGAATGCATCGCTAGAGTAGAGCGGCACGAGCAACGACGGCAGATGCGCGCCAGATGCGTGGCATGGCGCACGCACCAGCCGCCTCCGCGACCTTTCCCCGCCTCCGCAACATAGCCTCCCTCCACGTAAGCCCTACAAGCCTATTAACTTGGCGCCCACGTAGGGCCCTCTACTACTAGGCCACCATTACGTCTGCCGCGCCGTGCCCTCCCACGCCAAACAATGTTGCAATTCGTGCATCTATTTTCGTCCTAATCGAAGGACACTTTTTTGCGGGCGACTCGTGCGCCGACTTCACTATGCTGGGAGCGTTCTATAAATGTCCACCCAGCAATGCCAACGTGTTTTTGTGGTCGCTATTTCTCGCACATCCCGTTATCTACATTATCTACTGGTATCTATCAATTCTAACACTAGATACAAAGTACTGAAATTCACATAATACTTGCTGTAGCTTCCAATGTGATACATAACATTTCCACTACACGGCGGTCTTCTATGAGACCGTGCTACTTGCCCAGACGGACCTGACAGAAGGTTCTGTTCTTACTAAATATTACGTTCCATTAAATATTATCTATACAGAAGGTTCTGTATAGATAATATTTAATGGAACGTAATATTTAGTAAGTAATCGATAGCTTGTCTTATCTCCATATACGGTACATACACGGTATTTTCTTTTTTAATTACTCTTATTTTTACTGTCTGTGTGTATATGTACATTGTATTATGTAGGTACATTGTATTATATTTTGATAAAATAACTGAACATAATTTCTACACAGTAATATCAAATATAAATTAATTGTCTTTTAGACGGAGCGCATGGAGGAGAGATTATCCGCCATATTGTTAATGTTTGTTGTCTAATAATAATGATACATACCTATGTATCATTATTATTAGACAACTATTTGCTACTATTTATAAATAATGAAAGGCCGAATGTAATAAAAAAAACCACATGGCGTTGCAGGTAACCAATAAAGAATGGCCACGTCACTGAGATAAACATCCTAAGAACATCAGAATGGCATGGCAAGAGGCACCAAGTCAAGTAATAATGGACTCCCAAATATGTAATACATCTACACTAATATATAGTCACGAATAGCATATAATATTTTTAATCTATAAAAACAATTTTTCAATACTTCATTGATGTGGGTTTCAAACCGCATTTCAGAATCAATAGTAAGACCAAGACTGCAGCCGGTATTCACCAATTCTATTGCATTTCCTTTTCTTTCAATTGTAGGGCCCGCTTCTTTTATTTTTTTAACTTGATGGTGACTTCCAAGTACCATGAATTTTCATTTTATTGGATTAGGAACAAGGGAATTACAATCAGACCACGTGACCACTCTTTCAAGATCACTATTAATTTCTGCTACTGCTTTACTCATTTCCTTTATGACAAAGGATCTGTACAGTTGTATGTCATCTGCATATATGTGAAATTTACTATGCTTTATACAATTGACAATATCTGAACTATACAGTATAAACAATAGAGGTCCCAATATTGATCCTTGAGGTACTCCTCTTTCAAGGACAGAAACATTTGATGTAGCAGATGTACCATCACTTTTGTTTATTTTCACCTGTGGCTTTCTCTCGGTTAAATAGCTACTGAACCATTGAATAGATTCTATTGTAAAACCGTAATAGGCCAACTTGGATAACAACAGCATCAAATGGCCAAGAGTAATCCAATAGCACAAGTATTGACCCTTTGCCCTGATCACGAGCCTCAGATAGATTTCCCACTACATCACATAATGCTGTGGCAGTACCATGCCCTTTTCTGAATCCTGACTGTAAATAAGCAAGTAGCTTACCCATTATGTCGTCAACTTAAGTTCAATAATTAATTGAAAGAAACAATAACAATACTTCTAGTCGGTAGTTTAATCGTTTCCTTCACACACTCGACATAAAGTTATTCTTTGATACGTTACTTTTTTGGAGAACAACGCTATACACGACAAGTGGTAATAAAGTAAAGTATCAGCCTATATATGTCCCACTGCTGGGCAAACGCCTCCTTCTTTACAAAGGGTATCAGGGCCTAATCCACCACGCGGCCCCACTGCGAATTGGCGAATATTTTTTTTTCGAAAATATGCAGGTTTCCTCACGATGTTTTCCTTCACCGCTTAGCACGTGATAATTCGGCACATAAAATTAACAATTTCATTGGTGCCGGCACCGGGGATCGAACTCAGGTTGCTCGAGTATATTAAACGAAAGACGAGCGCCCGGCACTGAGCTATACACGTCAAATTATCCAAGTAAAAAAATCAACAAAAAAATCAACTCCGATTCTGAATTAAAAATAAGCTTTGATAAAAGTATTGTTTGAAACATTTTTCAATTATTTTTAACAGGTAAAGGTCACGAACGCTGAACGCGTCCGAAATTAAATTATCTGAATGATAATCATTAAAATTCTTAAACAGTTTCTTTGAAATTATAGGTACCCATATTCATAGATTTGGGGTTACGGCGACAAATAATAGCTCATGCTACTTTTTTATTTCGGAAGATGAAAATCGATATGAGACTTAGCGTGGTGTCTGCTGATAACTTAGATAAGAGAACGAGGTATCGCGAAGAGGAGGTTTGGACTTGCAGGTACTTACTGTTCGGCGAAAGTGGCAAGTTCCACCCTTTTTGTATTATTTCAAATTCAAGCAACGTCGCGGCTAGGCAATCGCGCGCCGCGAACTGGGCCGCCAGCGCTCTTTCCCTGGCGCCGTATAGGAAGCTATCCCCAGAGTCGAGGGCCTCGCCATCCGTTCAGCGCAACACAGTGTAAGCTGGCGTAATGTACTAAGAACCGGTTTAGTGTGGCTGTGCGGTGGCGTAGTCGTCGGCGTTCCGCGAACGATCTAAATTCCCATTACAATTTACATATTTAGCGTCACGGAAGCCGCGGAATGCCAAATGAGCATTGCTCTCGTGCGACCATTGCCTTGCTCCGACGATGTTCAACATTCTCGGCGGAACGAACTGTGTCCGTTTCCACCTGCTTATACTCCTAATCAATCGGGATTCTGAGTAACGCATGATAATTTAGTGTTACGCGAGTTTCAAAGCGATGACGAAGCTATTCACATTCCACATTAATCGAGTGACCGCCGAAGCTAATTATACGTGTTGTTTACAGAGACAGGGGGCGCCGCGGCTTTCGAATCAAATGTTACGGAAAAAATCTAAACGGTCGCCGGTGCCATGTGATTTATTTCCACGCAAGTGAAAAAAGATAGAGCTATCACAAATTACAATTAAACCACGCTAACGGCTGAATAAAAGTTTTTGTTTCTACTTCGCACAGAGCTGGTTAGTTGCTCTTTACATAGGAATGAAAACCATAGCAAACACTTGACATCGATACTTTTGTTCATTTATCAAAAATACAATTTAAAGACGTAATATATTTGCCCTGTGGTGTTTCTTGTTGTTTACATATTTATTTCATTATTACTGTATAGAGTGATTTTTAAGAGAGAGAATAAGCAATATGAAAATGAAATTACATGGGAAGGTGCTCTTTGTGCTGGTTAATCCACGGAACACGGGAACTTTCTGTTTCTTGTGAAAGGAAATTGTGTTTAATTCAATTTACAGCTTCTATCCGAAGAACCGTCTTATGGCGACGAATTTAATTTATTTTTAAATATGGAGTGTATGCTACATCTGTTAAATGAACGGCGTATATCACTTAATATACTCCAAGTGAACCAGCTCGGCTGCCATCTTCTTAATAAAAAAGAAGAGCACGCAAAACTGGCTGGCGGCGTATGAATTTGACTTGATCCAAACAAAGACTGGCCCTTCTCCAGTTCAGACTTGGATTCTAAAATATGGTATCACTGGGAGCAAAAGGCCCGCTCAAAGCCTCCTAGCCTAGAATCACATCAGACAGCCTTGATCAAAGATGCCGCCGATATTCATATGAACATGTGTCGATTATTTCACATTAAACATTTATTCTTGCTTGATTATTAAAATTATATTTCAAGTAAGAATTACTTTCATTGTTATTGTATAAGTGCATGAATGAAAAATTGTAAAATTTTGAGTAATTTAGTGTAAGACTTCAAGACTTCAAGAATTCAACCATTCAAAAAAATAAGAGACAATCAAAAATGTATGTTTTATATATTATTTAAGTAAAAGCCATGAGATCTGAGCTGACTTAAGACATTAAATATACTTATAAACTTTTGACGTTCAATACAATACACAGTTATGTGAAACATTATGATTGTGAGCGCAGTAGCCAATGTAATATTATTTACTTTCACCTGCATAATTATATCGTCCCTTGAGCGGATGACAGTTTTAAGTGTATTATTTTATTACTCTCAGGACGGCCAGTTTTTGAGAAGAAACTATACCGTGTCATGTTGAGCGGTTTCAAAATGACTTACGTTCACCGATTATGTGTTTCGCCGCTGCCGGAGAGCTTTGTTGTTGAGCGTGTTAAGTGTAGCAAACAATATTCTGCCATCTTTTCAAATGAACTTGTAGATAAACGTGACCTATGTCGAGCGATGATAAACTCTTCTCTATGCATCACATAAAATATTATTAGTAATTTCTAAACTATAGGTATGTAAGAGTATTAAATTCATAACATGAATATCGCCATAACAGATATGGCACTCGTTTTCTCTTACTCTTTCTTTTATGGAGTCACGCAAGTACGTCAATGTCAGCTAAGTTCCTTCGGACATATGATGCGATTACAAATGCATGAGCAAGCGCTCCAGGGTCCGAATTCCAACACGATGGAGTAAAAGTATTGTAGAGGCAACAGGAGAAACTCTACAACGATCCATTGAACCGGCGCATGACAGAAGCAAATGGCGAGAAATTACATATGATCACGATCCTCATTAGTGAGGGAACGACGAAGAAGAAGAAGTAAAGCAATGGAGTTACGATTTCTCTTTCACACTTATTACACGCCAAAAACTATATCAATGTACTTAATACCTTTCGTAAATGGTTTATTATACAACTGAGACATTGGGCACATGAAGGCTTCCGTTAACGAGGCGTTCGTGACGGACTTTGTGTCCGGTTCCGATAGCCGAGGGAGCTTCATTGTAATATAATGTGCAATACTTATAAAGGCTTCTTATTTTAAATGGATGGAAATTTTTCTAATTAAATACATTTGCCGTGATAGCTCAGTGTCTGGGCGCTCGCCTTTAATTCAATATACTCGAGCAACCTGAGTTCGATCCCCGGCGCCGAAGTTTTTAACTTTAAGTGCTGACTTATGACGTGCTCCGCTGTGAAGGAAAACATCGTGAGGAAATCTGTATATTTTCGAAATAATAACAAAATAAAATATTTCGAAGATATGTGAAGTCCGCCAATCCACAGTGGAGCCGCGTGGTGGACGGAGGAGGCCTTTGCCCAGCAGTAGGAGATGTATAGGCTGTTACTTAATTTTTTTTTCAAATAAGAAATATAATTGTGCCTTTCAATGTCAAATATGTTGATTATTTGTCGGTAACTAATTAAGAAGCTATTTTGGAAATAGACTTTTGACGCCTACAGTCATATTATTATTCAGAAAAGTAGAATGACTCCATTGTCATGTCATCAGAGATTTGTTTTCGCAATAAGCCGCATTAATGGCATTATGTTTGAGATGCGAAGTTACTACTAGGTACTATTATTAGGTATTCCTTTAGTGGAGTAGGTATGATTCAGTCTAACTATGAATAACGAATCATATTGAATAAATATAAGCAATGAATATTTAAATAGAACACATTTGAAAAACTGACAGTGCCCGGTAAGAAATCGTAAAACTATGGCGGCCTTTATAGCATTTGCGCCTAATTTACACATCATCATTATATTATGTATAATGGCATTAAATATTGTGTATAAAGTACTTCATACTGATTAAAGGAAACTTTTGGAAAACGGAGGAGTAGCTACAAGAAAGTGGTTGAATAAGATTTTGTTTCGGGGATACATTTAAACGATGTAAATAATTATACTGAAGAAACCTAACGGTTTCACGTGAATTATGAAGTATGTTCAGAAGTGACTCGGATGGGCTGACATGATGATAAATATAAAGTCTCTTATAATACGATTTCAAGTGTAGCATCTCAAAGCGCGGTTCTCAGAGCACAATTCTTACCTGGAAGAAATAAGCAAAATATATTATACATTTTGTCTCGGAATGTATTAAATTGTATTTTTGTACCAATTTCCTTCTTCTTAGGAATTGCTTAACACGGAGTGATTCTCTAGCCCTCGCCTCGATTCTCACTCCGATGGACTCTTCTGATAGTCATTAGCTGTCTCATTAAAACGACCTACTATTGTTAAGAGTAAGTTGGAACCATCTAAGGTTTATTGTAGAGTAAGAAGAGAACCGATAACCGTTGGGGAAGAAAGGTTCTCGAGTGGCAGCCTCGTACTGGCCATCGCAGTGTAGGACGACCCCCCACTAGATGGAGTGACAACCTGTGCAAATGTGCGGGAAGTCGATGGATGCAGGTGGCTCAGGATCGTGCTTCATGGCAGTCTGTGGGGGAGGCCTATGTTCAGCAGTGGACTCAAACAGGCTGAAATGATGATGATGATGAAGAAGAGAAGTCTATATTTGTCAACATTTACCATATTAAAGCACAAATTAAGAGAAAATAAATCGAATAAAATGAATTGTAGCTTATTCTTTTTAGATGTATCTCCAATTCCAATTTTCGGGATAGAAGCATGATACCTACTACTTCTTCGTCCACACCGCGAGGATTAATTGCGTAACGTTATGCTGGCGGAAGAGCTCAAGTTCCGGGGGGGATGTCATCGGTGGTGCAATCGTGGTGAGCGCGGAGGGGGCGTGGGGCGCGGGGGTCGCGGGGGGAGGCTCCTCTCGACCTCGTCCGGCCACTCATTGTTTGTCACCCACTCGCTTGGCTCGGTTTCAGTTCAGTCAAGAGCAGTGAGCAGTGAGCAGTCACTCAGTCAGTGTTGGTGCGCCGTAGTGCGCGCGCGCCCGTGCCCGTCGCCCGTCGCCCGTCACCCGTCGCGTGTGTGCTCAAACCCTCCTCTCGTCTGGACGGAGGCTGCGCCGGATCGGACTCTCTCCCCGCAGGTCTCCGCCAGCAATAGTGCTTCCTCACCACCACCGCCACCGCCACCGTCACTGTCTCACAAGAGAAGGGATCGTTTCTTAGGTAAATCTTGTGTTGTGTTTCATGAGAGCATAATGCGTATAATTAAGCGAAATCATTACCTAAAAGGAATTTTATTGTAGAAATATAATTATCTCTTATTTGAGAAATCGACATGAAAACAATAATTATGGTCCTAAAGGTCAATCGAACTGCCCGAGTGAGTGAGCGGCCTTTAGCGATAATTTTGTAATATTTATTATTATGCATAATATCAAAGAACTTCAATTAGATTTTATTAGCCATACAAGGCCACCGCGTCTAGCGGGAGTCGCTTCAATCGGACAAAAGGTTAATTAGTATGAAAATACACAAATTAATTATTCGTATACATTTACATATTTATTATTTGAACGGGTAGTAAACAACACGTCAGCAACGGAGCAAAAAATAAATGTGTACAATGTAAGACGCGTCTCGTGTGTTTGAGCGTAGTGGCGATATTATTTTGTTAACCAAAAGTGTGTTAGTGCGATGCTCAATTATTGCTATTGGTGGTGCAAGTGTGTACGGGGAGCGGTACCGGCGTTGGCCCGCTCCCGTTCCACCGCGGTAAAAGCACAAGCCCTCATGTGTATGAAGCGTCACAGCCAGCCTTAACCCTGTTGTCACCGATGCTTCGGCGAGCCTAGCCTCCATCATTATTGCTCAATGTCACTACAAGCTAAAGTTTATCAAAATCTTCCGCTGAATATCACGCACGAACCGAATTAGCAAAAAAAAAACATTTAGAGCGCCTGAAAATCATTCTCGAAATTGATTTATTCTTGTTTTCGCAATGAAGTTGCGCTGTTCATAGTCGCAGTATACGTGATTCGCGTTAAGAACAAATTACTAAGTAGGCACAACAACTTAACAAGTTTTTGCTAATAAAGTCAGGGAACAAACTTGTCAGATAACTTACTCGTTATTCCTACTTTCTTTAAATGTCACCAGATTAATTTTTCATTCGGGATTCATTCATTCGGGAAGTAAGCAGTTACAATTGCAGGTGGGATTTGAACTCTAGTCCTAAAATTCAATCTTATTGAAATTCAAGGCCTGTATGCTGAATTATTTTTAAGGCAATGAGTTTATATAATTTTTGGTGCTAGTCTTTGCACTCAAAATTTTTGTAGATAAATGAACAAAATGTTTCGGCGCTGCGAGATTCGAACCTGCGTCTTCTGACCATTATAAGTATATACAGTAAAAATATCTTCTACAAAAGTTTACGATTGACGGCAGTGATGAGCCGACTAAGTTTTAAAGAGTATAAAAATATGTTATACTCTTTAAAACTAAGTCGGCTTGGCTCTTTTAATGGCATTACATTGCAGTATGTGCAAAAAAACATCAACCTAGCTGTGGTACAGCAGTTTTCGCAACAGTTTTTCAGAATCGCTTAATGTATCATCAAATTAATAATTATCTTTAATCTTTAATCTATACATCTATACTATTATTATTATATAAAGAGGAAATATTTGATTGTTTGTATGTATTGAATAGGCTCCGAAACTATTGAACCGATTTGACAAATTCTTTCACTGTTGGGAAGCTACATTATCCCCGGTTGATATAGGCTATATTTTATTTTCAAAAAAAAATAGGGATCCTTACTAAAACTCCAATAATGTTACTCAAGGTGTACAAAAATCACCTAAAATATTCTTTACATCGCGTGCGCTGCGAAAACTATTGATGATAGAGTAAAATAATGTACTACAACTTTGCAGAACACATCATTATTTACAAAAAGTGTCGCGACAGCATATGTCTAACTATTATAGTTATGCCACAATAAATGTTCTTTTATTTTAAAATTTTGATTGAAATGCCACCGCTAGAAAAGGCTCTTTATTTGTATCTTGGTATTAATCCTAATAAAAATAAATTACTTCTTATTTAAGACTGTTTCAATATCTTTATATAACTTTTTGAATTACCAAATTCGGACATTCCATTCGAAAGATATCACATGTTTAAAAATGTTAGTATATTGTAATTTAACTATCCAAACATCTTAGTGACTGACTTAGTACTTCTTATAATTCTTCAATCACATTTATAGTGGTAATTCCTGTTCAACATCATTTTAAAATGCCCTAAGATCACGATCTCATCTTTCTAGAAAAAGTTCCCAAGCGAGGGCATCAAAAATACGTCGTAATGAGGAATCTTTACCGGAAACTGAAAATCGTCTTACAAGTCGGAGAGAGTCAAATAGTGTTCAAGTAGAGTGCAGTGGCTTGAAGAGCAAAATAATATAAATATACAAATTCACACTAGGGAATCGAGCTCTGAGCGTTCCCAACGCCTACGAGATTAGAGAGAAAGACAACAATAAATGTCAACGACTAGCACCCAGTTTCCGAAAGCACAATCAATTTTAATTTACGATAAATCTCTTGTCAATCGTTGTTCAACATGATCTGAGTTGCTAGAACGTCTGAAAACAACATTGATTTTGATTTGCAATTAGTCACTGATTAACGGACAATCAACAGAAAATCGAGTTTCTCAAAGCGTTTTTCGGTGGTCAACGAGCTGTCAAAAGTTTTATTAAGTATAGAGTAGTGTTTTTTGACAAAAAGTAAGTGTAATACTTCTATATTGAATAAAGATATTTAAATTTGATTTTTGTTATGTTACAATGTGGTAAAAGATCTGGCGGTTCACCTGATGCTAAGTGATAACCGCTGCCCTTGGACATTTGCAACACCTGTAGGGTTGCAAATGCGTTGCCATCTTTAAATAAAGTGGGCCCCGACTACTTCTCTCACCAGACGAAATGCAGAAGTATAACACTTCTACTTTACACCGGTATTCTGTGAAGTTGTGGTACTTACCCGGACGGACCTGCCCATTCGTGCAACAGTTAACACTGTCGATATGATGGCAAAAATGATACCTGAAAGATTGAATTACCAGAGACTGAGGGCTGGCGAAACAATCATCCTAGAGACGTACTTTTCTACATATTTTAATCCTAGAGACGCTTTAAATCAAGACTTTGACCCATCAAATATCGGTCAACGCTAAATCGTCGTATTCATTTACAGGTTCTCCAAGTTATCTGCATTAAAAACCAAAGATGCGATGATTTATGTCCGAAACTATAGGAGACCAGACTTATTTGTCATTATTACGTGTAACCCCGAATGTCCCTTAAATTAAACCGGAACGCTGACCAGATAATATCTATTAAAAGATGAAGAAATTCATAAAATTATTCACCAAAGACGAAATATTGGGAAGGTTTTATGTGTGTGTGATAATTTTTAATTTTAATTTTTTTGTTAAATACACGTGCGAAGCCGGGGCGGGCCGCTAGTCTTTAATATCATCGTGTGAATATTTGCAGGTGGGTGGTGCTAATGTCAGGGCAGCCGCGCAGCCGCCCCCCACCACGCCCAGCGCCCCCCCGCTCCTGCCATGGGGTGTGTATGCATTTTGAAATTTGTAGAATACATGGATAAGAAGTCTTTCTGCGGGAAATCCCACTTGGGGATCGAACCCACGTCTTCCGTATTCGCGCATACACCTACACTTTAAGCACTAAAATAAAAAAGGAATATATGCAGTTAAGCCGTGATAGAGATGAGCATGAACCTCCTTTGACCCTAGTTGAATGGTACCATAAGTACAAATATATGAACGCGCCAGTTCTTATAATAAAACGAGAATTATTTGGATGTTTTGTATATGGAAATATTGAAATATATATTAGGTACATCGTTGCCTCTTGTTCGCAGGCACCGCGGCGCCGTGCTGTGTGTGCTGCTGTTCGTCGCGCTTGCCGCTCAGCTCGAGCTCGGTACGTTGCAAGTTCAGACGATCACTCTAAACTTAAAGTAGCGTAAGGCACACCAAAATGCTAACGAATCATGTGTGCATTCTTAGATATATTATCTTAAGTGAACTGAATGAAAAGTCCCGAAATTGTATTGAACAAGTTGAAAGAATATGAACACAAAGAAGACAAACCATTAAGGATAAACTACGCCTCATTGACGAAAAAACACATTTTTAGGGCATACTTATATGTTTCGTCGAAATGAAGAACTTAACTATAGCAAGAAGATATCAGCGAACTATATTTTATTATGTAACATAAAAGTGCTTATGGTGGTAGAGCAACGCAGCAGCCTCGGCTGTTGCACGAACGGGCAGGCTTGTCCGGGTAAGTACCGCGACCTCACAGAAGACCGGTGTAAAGTGGAAGTATGAGAAATACTTTCGCGTTTCGTCTGGTGAGTGAGGTAGTGTTCGGGTGTGGCAGATGTCCATGGGCGGCGGTATTCACTTAACATCAGGGGAACCGTCTGCTCGTTTGGCAACTTTTCACATTAAAAAAAATCATTTTTTTTTGAAAAATATTGCCCTTACTTTAGGTTAACATTATCCTGTGTTGTAAGGACGTTTTACAAACATAAATTTCACGCGGACAAACACCCAGATACGAAACAACTATCTGTGGGTCACACAAACAGTTGATAAAATCTGTAAAACGATCTTAGGTACCGGAAGCAACTCGTCGTATGCGTTAAATGATCCCGAGGAAGTGGTGGTGACGGCGGCGGCGTGGGGAGGCGGGGCGGCGGGCGCCGCGCTAGGCGCCTTGCTGGCGGCCGCCCTGCGGCGCGGCGGGCGGGCGACGCGGCGCCGCCCGCGCGCCGCGCCTGCCTGCGCCTGCCCACCGCCACCGCCGCCGAAGCCACCCGCCGCGGCGCGCGCTCCCTGCTGGACCTGGCCGACGCGGAGGTGGCGCGACTGCACCACGTGCCCCAGCGCGAGGTCGACGCCGCGCTCTACTCCCTCGAAGGACTATCGCGGTAAATAAACGAGAGCCGCTTAAAGGGCAGCGATTATTCGCACAGTATCGTATTAAAAAAAAACCTGCAATTGACATGCTTATATCGGCAATGGGATTACAATCGTGAATTAAGTCCGGTTCCGTCCACTCGATCAAAGGAGTGGATTCAGAAATGTGAAAGCTTGCTTAAAAGTTTAAAATTAACGATGCTTCAATTTCAATTTTTCAGGAATTTCACCACCATTTTCGCACCGCCTTGGTGTACACTATCCAATTCAACTTGTGCCCTAACTTTGACGAGCGACGAGAGCCAAGCGATGGTACTTCTTACTACAGCCATGAAATTCCGATTGCATATGCTAATCCTGGCACTGGGCGACCACCTCTCCGCTGCGGCGACCCTGTTTGGCGTCACCACTCCCCTCATTTGCGATTGGGCTCCCGAGTGGAGCGACTTAGAATCGATGTCCGCTACAAGACTCGGGCCGCCGCCTTGCCTGTCCGATATGAGGAGGGCGAAGGACTCCACGATCGATTGCCCGTTCGAAAGCTTGCGCCTGATGAAATTTGCAAACGTCAGAGCTCTCGCGCGATCGGCCGCCGCGGTGCGGGCCCTCGTCCGGCTGAGACTCGACTCGGAGGAGATGAGAGACCTGATGGCACGCGCACGACGCGGCGCTAACCCCGAAGTGGCGGCGAGGGAATTTCTGGAGGCGCACCCCAAGAAGGAGCACCGCAGCGAGGTGCGCGTGGTGGTGATGGTGCCCAACGACACGGACCGAGAGGCGTACGATGCCCCCGCGCTGGCGGCCGCCGCCGAGCTGGTGGAAGCGGACCTGGAGGCGACCGGCCTGCCGCGGGCCGCGCGCCTCAAGGTGGAGCTTTACGACGACAAGTGCGACGTGCGCCAAGCGTACAAGTACATGTTCAACGCGCTGGGCACGGGCGAGTACGGGGCGCTGTCTGCGATGGCGGGCCCGGCGTGCGGCGCCGCCTTCTCGGAGGTGGCGCGCCAGAGCCCCACGCACCTGCTGCCCGTGCTGGCGTACAGCGCGCAGGCGCCGCCGCCCGCCGCGCCCGCCCTGCTGGCCGCCGGGGACGCGCGCGACGCCGCCGCCGCCCTGGACGCGCTGGCGCGGCGGCTGCGCTGGCGCCGGCTGGTCGCGCTCAGCGAGCCCGCCGCCCGCGCCGCCATCGACCTCGAGCGCTTGCACGTGCCGCTCGACGTGCACCTCGAGCTGCCCGACCCGCTGCCGAACGACGACGGACAGATCTTCCACGAGGTCAATATTATAATACCTGGCGGAAATTCTTTTTGGTAAATCGCGTATTTTGGCAATAAAAAAAATAAAAAATAAAGAAAGCAATGATCTGGTATAGAAAAAAAGTAAGTGTGTAAATGGTCGTGACACGAACCGCAGCCTTCTGCTTCGGCCGCCCGATTACCGACCGAGCTATTATAACTGGAACCGTTTCCAAGACATATTTGAAATTATATATATCAAGAATTGCTCGTTTAAAGGTATTAGATACTTTTTAGCCTCGTAGAGTAGCTATGTTACCACTAACATCAATGTGAGTATATTCTTAATCATTCATACAACAATACATAGAGAGGAGAGAGACTCGTAACAACAATAGGCCCACCGGGGACCTTGACGTGCACGCTTGAGCATTAAGTGGGCAAAGTAGTGAGCGCTATGGGCGTGTGCAGTGGGCGCAGCGCGTGGCGGCGGCCAAGGGGCGCGTGATCGTGGTGGGCGCGGAGGACGCGCGCGTGGTGCGGGCGGCGCTGTGCGCGGGCCGCGGCGCGGGGCTGGTGCCGGCCGCGGGCGCCGCGTGGCTGCTGCCGGCCGCGCTGCCGCCCGCCTGGCTGCGCGCTCAGCCCGCCGACCGGCCCGCCTGCTCGCAGCCGCAGCTCGACGAGGTCGCCGCGGGCCACCTCAGCTTCGCGCCCGACTGGCTGGCCGCCTGGCGCAACGAGACCTCCGACGATCCTAAGCTCGATCCGCAACTCTCTTCGGCGCCTAGCTTACGTGACACCCAACAGTACGCACAAAACGCCGTATGTATACGACGTGCCTTCGTTATGTGCGGCAATGATCGATGTGATTTTTATGAATACTGAGGTCATCATAATGTGATCGGTAGTCCAATTGGAGGCAGCGGTGGAGCGTACGATGCCGTGTGTGGGCCCGTCGCGGTGTCGTTGGGCGCTCTACTTGTTCACGAGCCGATCCACTGGCAGCACTGCTCTACGACACGCTTCGTCTGTGGGCAGGTGCCCTCGACCGCTTGCTGGCCGTCCGTCCCTCGCAATATACAGACTTGCATGATCCAGCCATCGTTCAGTAAGTACCGATAAATTAATATATCTTGGCCCAAAGGCTCAAATAAAAGCTATCTGGTACACGATTATGACATTTTATGATTTATGGATCGCGATTTGATATCTATTAAAATAAAATAGAGTATCCAGTGAAATAAATGATCGCCCACAGGAGCCTCATCGAGAACGCAACGCAGAGCTCGTACGTGGGGTTGACGGGGCGGTTCGTGTGGGCGGCGGAGGGCTCGGGCGCGGTGCGCGTGGCGCCGCTCGTGCTCCTGCAATGGGAGAACGGGTCGCGGCGCGTGGTGGGCGGGTGGCGGCGCGGCGCCGGCCTGTGGCTGGGCGCGCCACGCTGGCGCACGGCCGACGGCGCCGCGCCCGCCGACGGCGGCGAGCTGTGCGCGCTGCGGCCCCTCGCCGAGCTGCTGCGCGCCGACTGCCGCGCCGCCGTCGTGGCCCTGGCCGCGCTGCTGCTTGTGCTGGCCATGGCCGCGCTCGCCGCCACCGCCCTCTACTGCAAACGACGCGCCGAGCGCGACTACTTGGCTCGTCTAGCGGCGCTCTCCATGCGCTCGCTCCCGGCTAAGAGCGAAGATCTGGACCGTTGGGAAGTCCCGCGCGAGCGCGTGGTCATCAATCGAAAGCTCGGCATGGGCGCTTTCGGAACCGTGTACGGCGGACACGCTCTGCTCCGCGAAGACCGCGGCTGGACCGCCGTCGCCGTGAAGACGCTCAAGGCCGGCGCGAGCACCGAGGAGAAGCTCGATTTTCTGTCGGAAGCGGAGGCCATGAAGCGATTCGATCACAAGAACATAGTCCGCCTGTTGGGCGTGGTTACGAAGACGGAGCCCGTGTGCACGGTGATGGAGTTCATGCTGTACGGGGACCTGAAGAGCTACCTGCTGGCGCGGCGGCACCTGGCCGGCGCGGAGGCGGAGGCGGAGGAGGGCGTGGACGAGGTGTCCGCGCGGAGGCTCACCGGCATGGCGCTGGACGCGGCGCGCGCGCTCGGCTACTTGGCGCACCTGCGCTACGTGCACCGCGACGTGGCGGCGCGCAACTGCCTCATCTCGGCGCGCCGCGTGCTCAAGCTGGCCGACTTCGGCATGACGCGGCTCGTCTTCGAGAACGACTACTACCGCTTCAGCCGCAAGGGCATGCTGCCGGTGCGGTGGATGGCGCCCGAGAGCTTGGCGCTCGGAGTCTTCTCGCCGGCCTCCGACGTCTGGTCGTTCGGCGTGCTGCTCTACGAGATCGTCACCTTCGGCTCGCTGCCCTTCCAGGGCCTCAGCAACGCCGAGGTGCTGGTGCGGGTCAAGGCGGGCCACACGCTCGAACTCCCTCCCGGCCTCAAGCCCCAGTTGTGAGTTACGATATCATTTCATTCTTCTATCCAGGGAGGCTTTTCTAAGTGTATCCATTTTTTTTAATTAAATTATAGACATAAATAATGTTATATAAAAATGATAAATATTTTAAATCACTCGTAAGTAATTAATTAATTACATTCAATTGAACTTATCTCAAAAAGTACGTGATTTATACGCAACTCATTTATTTTACGCGCGATCATTCATAACTAACACGCACACCAGTTCTTTTGTGTGCGTGAACAGTAAAGTTTAGGTATTTATGAATGACTAGCGGCACGCCCCGGCTTCACACGGGTAACAATACGGTTAGCAAAAAATTTTAAAACTAAAATTTATCATACACACACATAAAAACTTCCGAATGCTTCGTCTGTGGTGAATAATTTTATGAATTTCTTAATCTTTTAATGAAATACCTTTGTCTAATTACGTCATGAAGATTGAAATACCGCTGACCAGATAATAGTTCGGATTTAATTTAAGGAACATTCGGAGTTACGCGTAAAAGTGGCAAATAAGTCTGGTCTCCAATAGCTTCCGACATAAATCATCACATCTTGATTTTTTTAATGCAGATAACTCGTAGAAATTGTTAATGAACATGACGTTGCAGATTACGCATTAACCGATATTTGATGTGCCAATGTCTTTTTAAAGCGTCTGTAAGAGTTTCACCAGCCCTCAGTCTCTGGTGATTACGACATCATATGTACTTCAATCTTTATGATATCTTTTTGCCATCATATCGACAATGTATTGAATAAAAACCGGCCAAGTGCGAGTTGGACTCGCACACGAAGGGTTCCGTAAAATAGAAGTGTTATACTTCTACGTTTCGTCTGGTGAGAGAGGTAGCCGGGTCCCACTTCATTTAAAGATGGCAACCCATTTGCAACCCTACAAGTATTGCAAATAAATGTTATTACTTAACATCAGGTCAAACGCCAGCTAGTTTTCCACTCTATCATATTAAAAAAAAACATGTTTCAATATCTTTATTGAATATAGAAGTATTACACTTACATATTGTCAAAAACACTACTACTGTCAACATTATCTATAAAAACTCATGTATGTTTTATGGGAGCCCCACTTATTTATCCTTTTTTGTTTTTTAGTATTTGTTGTTATAGCGGCAACAGAAATACATAATTTGGGAAAATTTCAACTGTCTAACTATCGCGGTTCATGAGATACAGCCTGGTGACATATGGAGAGATATACGGACATACAGACAGACAGCTGAGTCTTAGTAATAGGGTGCCGTTTTACCCTTTGGGTATGGAACCCTAATAAGTCCCAGTAATAATGCAATGGATTAAAACAGATAGCTCTAACCATCAACCTAAATGCATAAAATTGCATGCATGTCACAGTTTTGTTACGCACAGTACCTTGCTGAGGAATAGTCAAATATTAACCGTCTTCTCCTATTACGACTATTAAGAGATATTTTAGTGGATCATACAATCGGTGTAACTCAGAGACCCTTTTAAATTGGACGTGTCTACCGTGTAACACTATATCTCTGGGGCCTTTTTAGAATTCCGTACCCAAAGGGTAAAATGGGACCCTATTAATAAGACTCCGCTCTCTGTTTGTCCCTCTGTCAACAGGCTGTATCTCATGAACCGTGATAGTTACACAGTTGAAATTTAATCTGGGTATTTGTTTCCCAAGGAGGGTTGTCGTCAGGCAGGCGGCTGGGTAAAAATATAGCCAAAACCGCTTACAACATGATTCATGTTGTGCCGACCCCATTATTATGCTCTTCAAGCTGCTGCAAACATTCTACTTGACTCTCTCCGACTTGTAAGACGATTTTCAGTTTCCGGTAAAGATTCTGCATTACGACGTATTTTCGATGCCCTCGCCTGGGAACTATTTCTAGAAAGATGATATCTTGATCTTTTCAGCATTTTAAAATGATAAAATAAATTAAACTGCCTTTGTATTTAATAATTTGCTAACTGTTTAATTATAAGAACTACTAAGTCAGTCACTAAGCTGTTTGGATAGTTAAATTACAATATACTAACACTTTTAAACTTGTAATATCTAACGAATGGAATGTCCGAATTTAATAATTCAAAAAGTTATATAAAGATATTGAAACAGTCTTAAATATGAAATAATTTATTCTTATAAGGATCATCAATAGTTTTCGCAGCGCACGCGATGTAAAGAATATTTTAGGTAATTTTTGTACACTTTGGGTTACATTATTGAAGTTTTAGTAAAGATCCCTACTTTTTTGAAAATCCTATATAGCCTATATCAACCGGGGATAATGTAGCTTCCCAACAGTGAAATAATTTTTCAAATCGGTTCAGTAGTTTCGGAGCTTATTCAATACATGCACACAATCAAATCTTTCCTCTTTATAATATATTATAGACTACCGCGTTGTCAACAAATTCTGTTTTTTAGGGAACAGAATGGTATTTTTATTTTTGAAAAAAAAAAGTTAGTTTTTATTTCAATAAACGATTATACTATCGAATCTGAAATTTCTGTATAAATTTGGGCACTTTTTGTAAATTCTCCCTGTATATTTTAATATATAGAAAGAAAGTTGCAGTCCTGCATTTTTAGACTAGTCCACAATGCTTGATATTAGTAAATCGATGCAAGTTGGCAGGGCGGAAAGAGCGGTCGAAGGTGATTTGTGGCCGTGTGCCGACAGGGAGGGGCTGATCAAGTCGTGCTGGCAGCAGGAGCACCGGCTGCGGCCGAGCGCGGCCGAGGTGGCGGCCTTTCTGAGCGAGGCGCCGCGGCTGCTCACGCCCTGCCTGGACGTGCCGCTCGACGCGCTGCCGCTGGATGCCGAGCCGCCGTGGCGCGCGCCGCCCGACCTGGCCGAGGCGCGCTGGCTCTCCTGGGCCGCGCCCGCCTCCGCGTCCGCCTCCGCCTCCGCGCCCGCCCCCGCCTCCGCGCCCGCCTCCGCGCGCACCGACACCACCTACCTCAGCTCCGAGCCGCGCGACACCGACCGCTTCCTGCCATGACCGCCGCGAACATTCCACTTTATTCTAGTCACACTTTAGCAGTTAACTTAGGTAAAATTTTGTACAAAACTTTCTATTTATTATTGTACTATTTTAGCAATAAAAAAGTTAAGTTTAAACACCTCTTCTATATTTACCTTTTCTAATTTTAATCCTTAAGCTTTTAAGCCATTCGCTTAATTTTTCCTGAAAAACCAACGTGTTTCCGAATTTGAGTTCGTTAGCTTTCCTCAACCCAAATGAAGGATAATTTTTTTCGTACATAATTTATGTGATCTATATAAATGTGAGTAGAAAATGTATTGGCAAAAACATGTTAACCAATTAGCAAGAAAAATAAACAGCTCTGCTTATGCAATTAAGCAAGCTATCCTCATTAAATTTAAATAGTCGTGTCGGACTGGTTGGAAACCAATAGTTTACTTTTGAACGCCACTAAGACTGAATGTATCAGATTTACTATATCAATTGTTATTTATGGGTTATTGTTGTGTTATGTGTTCTTTTGTAATAAATGAGACTTCTAAAGTTCACGTACAAACAGTTTATTTAGGTTGCAAGCACAATAAACAATTACGTGAATCTAATTGAAAGGAAACGTATTAAACTAAACTAAAACAAAAGCTATTAAACTAAACTTATTAAATATTAAGCTAATAGTAAGGGCACCAGGAGAGTTTTATTTCTGGGAACTCTGCCAAAACCTTCTTCCACGGCTAACTCCTCAGGTCTTCAAAGGGCATGTCCGTAGTCTATGAAGAATAAAGATACTATGTATTTCTATCACGGCTAAATTTCTAAAAGTAAATATAATTTTACACAATAACTCACCCCTTCACGGTACACACAGATACACAAGTATTTGCACGTAACTATTTAAGAATTTACGAAAAAAAACAAACAATTGCACTCAACATAACAATTGTGTCGGTACATGAAGAAATAATTTTAGAGTACAATCGTAAGCAAAACGTAAGTCGGTCTGCACCTTACGCGTCTCCGACCTCAAATGCCCGAGCACTGATGCTCAATAAAAATGAACTTCTACGTTATACATAGGAAATTAACAAAAAGCGTGCTGGACGTAGGATCCGAATTCTCGACGCGCATTTCCTAAAGCAAACCTCCAAGCCACTGCACCACGAAGTGAATTAACTATATATACAAAATTGCCCTTTAGACTAACGAGGTCATTATAAATATCCCCCCAACGTACGAGAAAAAAAATTTTTTTTTTTATTACAACGTTTCAGGTCCTTCGCATGCCACACCCCTAAATCTTTGCCACTAATTTTAATCAATCTATAAACATTATTCGACAACATTTCCTTTATAATTGCTTTCTCAATTAGGTGCAAGTTTTGCCATAAATTTATTAGTTGCTTTTGACAAAAATTTAGTTCTTTTCCAAACTACATCGCCGACCTTGAATGGCGCTGGTCGTCGTCTAAGATTATAGCGCATTAGGCTTTGATTTTGAGCTAATTTTAGTTTATCTTGTACTTCTTTATATAGCCTTCTTTTCTCGATTAGGGAATTTAAAAATCTTTCTCTGTTAACGTTTGGAGCATGATCAGGGTCGTTTTCCGCCCATTTAGGGACAAATGTCTCGTGCCTACTTATTGTTGTTTCCCTACCCAAGAATAGGTAAGACGGTGTATACCCAGTTGATTCATGAACCGCTGTCCTAATTGCATGGCTGGCTTCCAGTAAATGTAAGTCCCATTCATTGTGTTTATTGCCCTGTAAGTACAACGATAGCAAAGTGCCTATCACTCTATTCGCTCTCTCAGTTGGGTTGCTCTGTGGGTGGTAATTTGGTGTGAACCAGAGGTTTAACTTGTACTTAACAGCCAAATTTTTAAATATTTGTGATGTAAACTGCTTCCCGTTATCACATATTACACACTCCGGTGCACCAAAGAGTAAGAACTGGCTTTCTAATATGTCACATATCTTTTCCGTTTTCCCTGTCCTTAAGGGAAATAATAAGATAAATTTACTAAAATAACATGTCACTACGAGTACCATGGTATGACCGCGTTTACTTTTTGGAAACGGACCCATAAGATCCAGTGATATCATTTGCCACGGGGGTGTCACGTCTCTGCGTGACTCCATTTGGCCAAAAGGAAGTTTTTGTTCTACTTTAAATTTTGCACAAGTTTCACATTCATTCACATACTTTTTGACATCCGCCAGCACGTTCGGCCAGTAGAAGAAGGTTTTGGCAGAGTTCCCAGAAATAAAACTCTCCTGGCGCCCTTACTATTAGCTTAATATTTAATAAGTTTAGTTTAATAGCTTTTGTTTTAGTTTAGTTTAATACGTTTCCTTTCAATTAGATCCACGTAATTGTTTATTGTGCTTGCAACCTAAATAAACTGTTTGTACGTGAAATTTAGAAGTCTCATTTATTACAAAAGAACACATAACAAAAAGCGTGCTCGACGTAGGATCCGAACTCTCGACTCGCATTTCCTAAATCAAACCTACAAGCCAATACACCACCAAGTGAATTAACTATATATACGAAATTGCCTTTTAGACTAACGAGGTCGTTATAAGCTGTCTCACAAACCAGGAGTCTTTACCGATGACAACATCCTAGCAAAGGGCACGACGGTCATCCGTTATACTCATCGGAGTTCTGCTTTATTTTTTGAGGCTGTAATTCATTTAATAATTGATTAAATAATTCAGTTAGCTACAGTTCAAATCAAGTGCTGTATTATAATTTGTATATTTGAAAAATAATTGCCGATACTAAGGCGTCATATTTACTTTATATCCCAATTTCTGATGTTTATTAATTATAGCTGTTATATATTTCAAATGTCAAAATACTTTTATAGCTCAAAAATTGAACAATTTTGAACGCAGCCTAAGGCTCTAAAGATTTAGGAATATTCAAATAGCTCAGGCGCCGCGTGGTGGACTATGCCCTGAACCGCATGTACAGAGGAGGCCATTGCCTTGCGGTGGGACATATATAGGCTGATTATGATATTCTTTTAAAGTTGCTTCGACATTTTGAAACATTCATAAACATCATTTGAAGAAGGAGTTAGAGCAGAAGTAACAATGGCAGATGGAGTGAACACAGGAACAGTAGGTGACTCATTTCATAGCAATATCCTTTAATTGATTTTAGGGTATGTATTTAGATTTTTGCTAAACTACACATCGTATCTATAATTTTTAACCCTTAAAACTGCGCGATATGCAGTCATTTGCAAAAATCGAATTGATGACTATTTACGGTCAGCACTAGCTAATAAACTTATGTTTAAGTTAAAATGTACTGTCAATATTTTTGTGGGTAATAATACCACAGCACTGAAATATAATTATGTATAATTCTTTGAGGAAAACCGTTATCAGCCTGGAGTGCGATGCGGTGCCCAGTGCCCAGTCGAATCGTAAATAAGTTCAGACTATACATGTAAGGAATAGCTGCAGCCGAAAATAATAAATACTTGTGCTAAGAGACTATATTGATTGACAGTAAATTTTATTTAATTATTTTATTTTAAAACAGATTTTAAATCTACACACATCATGTGCATCCTTACCGCTGTGTAACAACTCATCGCATTTGGATACCGGATTAAGCCACCGCAAGGTTCCCTTGCGTTGCTTGAGGCACATAATTGAAACGGCCATTAATCGTCTTCAGTAAGTATTATTGTAAATACTGTTTATATATCTCAACACGCTGTTCACGTTGGCAGCATTTACTACAACTATACATATGATAATATATACCTATATTATTATATATCTATTCTTATCCTTATCCACAACAATTTAATTTTATATAATTACATAACACTAGGATTAATGCAATTTTTTATTGAAGGCGGATGTTTTTGTTCAATTTGGAGAAGGGCGGAGACAATTGTAGACATAATGAGTATGGTAACTAAAATATGAGATAAACGTACCTATGGTTTCCAAGTAAACCGTTGAAAAACTGCGTCATAACTGCGTCAAATCAACTCAACTTTAGAAATTACTAATATCAAAGAAATTTTTCGTGTAATTAAACATTTTTATAATCAAAAGATTAATTTAGCATCGTAGTTAAGAAACTTGGTAACCTCTAGTTTACAAAATTTTACTTTTTATACCCCGAAATACATGTATATAAATATGTTAATCTACCTACCGAAAATGGTTACCTAACGTCACATTTTCTTCCTGCAGACATGTTTTTTAACTGCCTAACGTGGCGACAGTATATTGCTTATTCGTTCACATGAAACATTGTCGTTTCTTCTTTGGTATTGATTTAAAATGTCAAGTAGAAAGTGTACACAAAGTCCTGATCGTTTTTGTTATGTTTGTGGAGTTTGGTAGAACCTAGTAATTTTGTGAAGCCGCTTGACGAAAACAGTGATGCGTTTCGGTACAAAAAATCTTCCCAAAAATGAGTAAGGGAAAACTGAAAGAGGGTATATTTTTGGCCCAAAGATTCGTAAAATTATGAAAGATTCTCAGTTTGATAGCTTTTTATGTGTTAATGAAAAATCTGCTTGGAAATCGTTCAAAACTGTTGTGGAAGATTTTTTGGGAAATAATGAAAATTGAATGATGACTCCGTGGCGCAGTTGCCAAGACATTGGCTTTGGCGTCGAAGGCGTGGGTTCGATTCCCGTACGGGACAACTTTTTGTGTTACCCACAGACAATTGTTTCACATCTGGGTGTTTGTCCGCGTGAAATTTATGTTTGTAACAGGATAATATTATCTAAAGGCAATGTTAACTAAAGGTCAATGTTTAAAAAAAAAAAAAGAAAACTTAAAAGGAAATTGTTACTGATTTATTGGAAGCTTTACAACAGATGGGAGTAAAAGTTTCATTAGAGACTCATTTTCTGCACTCACATCTGAGTTTTTTCTGTGAAAACTTAGAAAGTATGAGTGACGAAGAAGGGGATCGTTTCCACCAAGATTTAAAGGTTTTTGAAGAACTACACCAAGTATTTTGTTTTTTTTTTTTTGTGTAAAACATCTTAGGGGATTACTGTTGCTCCATTATAAAAGAAACTGATTCAGATAACATTAAAAATTATTAATTTTTCTAGTATTAAAACAAAATAATTTATACCAGTTTAGTAAATAAGTATTTTTTAAACCAGATGTGACAGAAATTTTGTATTATTTTTTTCTGGGTTACTATTAGCATAGCAACCTAAATTAATAATAAAAGTTACAACTTTCAGCTGGGGTATGAAAACCGTGTAAACTAGTGTTATTATAACTTGATAATATACGTAAATATCTATAAATATCAATTATTACCTACTGACTTACATTTTTTATCAAGGATCTGCACTTTTTCAGACACTTATTATCAACAAAAATTATTTGGCTTAAATATTTATGTTGAAAAATGTATATCAATATAAATATTTAAGCCAAATAAGTTAGTTCATATATCACCACATCTTATATACAACAAACACTAGGTTAAGCACACAGCGAATGGATGACAGGGGTAGTATCTGATACTACCAAACTCTAGGAAAATAGGTTGATTGCTTGGTGATAGGACGGGCAACTGCAACATTGTCTTTGCGCGTGCTCTTTGACCCAGAAATGCCTATTCGGATTATATTTCTGTTGATCGTGGTAGAGTCGCGCATCAGTTAAAATACGATTCATGGGATTCGGGCTCAAAAATGGGATTTTTTACACCTACGACAATCGTTAACATTGTTTTCTTACTTTTTATACGTGTTGTAGTTGGCTGACAATAAGGTAATGTAAAATAACATTTAAATTATTGAGACAATGAAATGCATAGGGTATAAAATTTTTAAAAAAAACTAACTGAAACTCGTAAGCACATTTTTGACACGCAGTGGACCGCGAGCTGAGACGCTTGGAGCTGCTGCTGATCTTGTGGGTGGTGGCGGTGGTGGCGGTGGTGGTGGTGGCGGAGGAAGCGGACGTGGCAGCTGGGGACCACTGCGACCGACTGCTACACCGCGGTACTACTACTGCATACTCTCTACAATAATGAGGCACTAGCCAAGGGGTGTTCTATCAATCTATTGAAAAACATCTACAACAAAGAGAGAATGTAAAATAATAAAACGCGTTTTACGCCGCAGCGAGCTCCGGTAAATTTGTGGAGGTGATGCTACTAGGGGAGCCGGTGGATGTAGTGGTGCGGCTGCAGCCTGGGAGCGGCCGGGCGTTGAGGGCGTTCGGCGCCATGCTGGTGGCCATCGCACGGCGCATGCGGTACGCGCACATACACCTGCGGCCGCGCGGCGCTCCCGATCCTGGTGAATTCACTTACAGCGGGGCCCGCAAGTGAGAACGTCGTTGCCCGTTCGCTTCGTATCACATAACATAACGGCCAACGGCGGAGCATGGATGCGCAGTGCAAAGCTTTCACTTGTGCAGCGAAATCTCGGTGTTTGCGGCCGCCGCGGTGGAGCCGGCGGCGCCGCGGCTCCACGTGCGTCTAGCAGCTCAAGCTAGCCGCTGCCTCGCCGCCACCGTGTGGACCTTCTATGCCGATGAAAACAATTTACGGAACTGCACATTCCTACGCATGTCTGACATAGGCGCTGCTTGGGGGAAGTACGTAAAAATTTGTAATGTTTACATACAATGGATACTCCTGGCCGTTTACTAAATTTAGTGTAAATACTCTAAATCGAGAGCCGTAATAGCTCAGTATCCAGGCGCTCGCCTTTAATTCAATATACTCGAGCAACCTGAGTTCGATCCCTGGTGCCGACACCAATAAAATTGTCAATTTTAAGTGCTGAATTATTATCACGAGCTCAGCGGTGGAGGAAAACATCGTGAGGAAACCCGCATTTTTCAAATAATAATAATAAAAAAAAATACTTCGAAAATATGTGAAGTCCGCCAATCCGCAGTGGGGCCGCGGTGGACTATGTCCTGATACCGTCTGTACAGAGGAGGCCTTTTCCCAGTAGTGGGACATATATAGGCTGATACTAAATTTTTTTCTTTACTCTAAACCAAATAATATGCAATTTTGTTTTGGATTAATTTTAGTTACGAGCGAATCGAGACGGGCGAGGAGAGCGAGTGCGCCGAGTGCGCGGTGGTGCTGGCGGCGCATGGGGCGCGGTGGGCCGCGGCGGAGCTGCAGCGGCGCGCGATCGCCCACCGGCTGCTGCTGCGCGTGGTGGTCGCCGACCTCCTGCGGCCGCGCCCGCCCGCCCGCTCCGTGCTCTTCTTCGACGAGCTGCTGCTGTGGGCCGGGGAGCCGAACGTGCACGGCATCTACCCGCCGCCCTGCCTCGCCCACCTCGGTGCCAGCTGCGCCTTACACCTGGGCTATTCGCAAGCACCCATGACGATAACATTCGATTCTGCTTTGATTCGCAAGTTTGCGCCCCAGCTTTATGATGCTTTCAAACGTTTCATTCCTACCGCTGCGGATATAAGGGACGTGCTGAAGCTTGAATCGGTAAACGGGAATAATACCGAGGACGCCGCCTGCGAATGGTTTCTTCAAAATTCAAAGAGGCTAGATGGCCTTTTCCAAAGCCCTCTTCCAAAGCTCACAAAAGCCAACGTTGTTTATAAAATACGATTGTTTTTATGCCGCGAAGATCCAGATCGTGCCGAATACCAACAAATATTCCCGGAAATTCTTAAACTCATTGACTTGAAGGGTTTATTGGTGGAAATAAAAAACGAATCAATTATGTGTTTAGACGGTAACGCCCTTCACGAGAAATTTATGGTGCTCTTGAACAATAATAATGAGCATTACACAATCGCGTGGATAGCTACGGGCGTTGGGACTTCGAAGATTGAAGATATTGCAGAGGGGATTTCACTTCCCATTGTTTCATACGACACACCGCCCATTGCCCTACGGCCTAACAGTGTTGTACGTGCCGTCACGGGTTCGATGCGAGTACTCGCGCGTGGCTACTTACATTTGTGGGCGCAGTGTGGCATTAGCCGCATCGCCGTGATCTCGGACCGTACGTCTTACTCGCGCGACCTGATGGCGATATTAAGCGAAAACAATCTGAACATTCGACACGTGAACGTCTCCTCCGGGGAGAGTATCACACTCGCCCTGCGAGAGTTTCGAGCGGCGGACGCACGTGCATTTTTTGTGAACGCGAAAGCGGACATAGCCGCCGAAGTGTTGTGCGCCGCTAGGGAGGCCGGCATGAGTGCCGAGCACGAGTACCTGTGGTGGGTGCGCGAGTGGCGGCGGGCCGGCGCCTGCGGGCCCTCGGCGGCGCTGAGCCTGGGCCTGAGCTGGCGCGGCGCGGACGGCGCCGAGCGGTGGCCAGCGGGGCCCGCAGGGGCGGAGGGGGCGCCGGGGGCGGTGCGCCGCGCGCTCGACTCGCGCTGGCCGCGCCGCGCCTGGCCGCCCCTCGCCACACCCCTGGCGGACGCCGTCCTGCTGCTCGCGCAGACCCTGGCGAGTTACATCGAACGCAACCCCGAGAACATCGATGACCGACACCTCTTTGGAGACGCCAAGTAAATAATTTAATACTGTATTGAACAACAAACTTTATTTAATTAATACATATACATTATGAAACAGTTCAGTCTTTTAGGTCCACAATCGTTGTGTGTGTCGAAATCCAATATGGTGAGATGAATTGTTAAAATAATTCTACCATACCTTTATCAACTAGAGATTGCAATTCGCCCCTCCATAAATACAAGAATGAAGTACTACTGTGTGGAGGAATGTTTTAAATGGTTTTGTAATATTCAAACAGCTCCCCTCAAAAATACAATAAATTGTTTATATTAAACTCAAATCAAATTATACATCATCATTGTGGAGCTCTCCGCGTTTTTGTCCCAAGACAAGGAATAGGTATACCTAACTACGAAATGCATTTTAAACGCATCAAAAAGCAGTAAAATAAAAAAATTGCAGTCTAACTGACACGGACACATGCAGGAAGCCTCGCTTAAATTTGATGTTTCAACATTTTCGGGTAACTGCGCCTAATGGCCAACATTTCTGAATTTCTTCAAAGGTAGTACCTATTCACGGCAATTCATTGCTATCTAAAGTTCAGAAAATGCAGCAGCTGAACTGAGGGGAGAAGCAGAATATCAAGTTCAACATTTGCATGTTTCTATTGACAATTATGACACAGCATGGGTCATACTCAATCATCACTACAAAGTCAGCAAGTATTATTAACAAAGCAAATTGAGATATTTCTGAATCAGCCGTCTATTCAGAAACAGACGGCTTTCGAGTTAAAATAATTTCATGATAACCCAAACGAACGTTACTGTTTGCTTAAGTAAGTCGACCAGAAAAAACATTTATGTCGTACACTGTGCATTACAGTGCCGCACAGTTCAGCACACTGGTGGAAGCGCATCTTAAGAAACCTTACACCAACAAATTTGTGCCGTAGCGGGTTACATTTTCCATTGTGGCTCAGGTGAAATTGTGTTTATTCCGCGAATACCACGTATCTCCCACTTCCTCTGAACTTCCCATTCCAATTTAAGCGCTCACAAGTTCCAGTAGCACCTCGCTTCGCGATGACGATACATAAGTCTCAGGGACAGACCCTAAAGACAGCTAGTGTTATTTCTGTAACAACATTTATTTACTTTTTTTTCTATAAAATGTTGTGCAAACCGCGATGGTTACTTCATTTCTTAAAACAGAAACAAATTTCTTCGCGTAAGCTCAATAGCTTAGACGACGAAATTTGTTTCTGCGTGCAGGTCGGCGCGATCGACCGGTCGCTGCATACAACAACTTGAGATGGGTTTTTTTCTTTCTGGTTTTCACGATTAAATCACTTCGCCAATCACCTGCAGCATGTTTCTGTCATCTAGAAACATAAGAGTGCAATTCGCTCATTTATTAACAAAAAGATAAAATACTGTGTGTTTTTTACATTATTAATACACTAGTGGTGTAACGTTTCTATTTGGATGGTGTATATATGATGGGAAGATTTAATAAAAGATTTATTAGCGGTTAAGAATTTGTATTTATCCCTTCAATTTAAAGTTACAATCCCTGGACTAGCTCAGATACAATATATTTTGTAATATAATAATAATAATAAGTTGGGCGCCTTGTCGGTTAGGAACAGACTGTTGTAATAATCACAATTAAGTATCGCAGGGAGTCGTGAGTATATAGGACCTACACATTACTTTGTGCGACCATAAAAGGTTAAATAATTAAATTAATTTAAGATTATGAAAGTTATGCAATTCAATTTAAAAACTAAAGTCCAATCAGGTAGTTATTTTAAATCTATGTCACCGCAGAGACATCTGCCCTGTGTGCACAGGTCAGCGTTGAGCTCAGAACCAGTAGAGAAAGTCAGGCCAAGTGTAGTGTGTACAGCCACACTGTTGGGGGGTATGTAGGAGACCTCCTGCCAACAAACACTACATTGTAGAACTAACAAAGGCAGGGATATGAATCCACCTACACTTATAAGATGTGAAGAACTTACCAACTGGAGGTAAAAAACAATATTTAATAGAGCAGCAGCTCAGACCAGCTTGCCAGCCACCTATGCCTTCAGCAACCACCTGTGATATTCAAAAAACCATACTTAGAAACACGAGACAATAAATTCTCAACCTACCTTCATGTGACATTTCTAAATACATTCATAATGCAAGTCTTTTTACAATTTTAGTAGGAAACCAGTGAAAATAACAGAGGATCTTACCAAGAGGGATAACAAATCCAGCACAGAGTTTCCCAGACAGCAATCACAAATAATACGACCAGGAACGTGTTCTGATTCAACCTCTAGCCATGCACTGTAAAAAAGCGAATTGATAAGAAAACGAAATACGTAAACAAAACAACCACTGGCATGAACAAAACCAAGCAACTACTTACCAGTCGAAGATAATGGATCTACAAAAACTAATTTATCCAATGTCGATTCGAACCGGCGGCAATCTCAAATGACAAGTCCGACCAAATGAAGTTAACTTTTTGATTCGACCTTTCGAAAAGGCAAAGGTTCATAGGACATGCAGCCTAGTCTTTAGAAAAACAACAATTTCGACAAAGTGATGAAATCACACGTTACAATATCCCCCAAGCACACAGAATTCACCTTGGTGAATTCACGGCTGTCCTCAGCCGTAAACTACTAAACTGAAGAAATGCAGTAAAGATCAAATATCAAAACAAATACTAAGATTTAAAAAAAAACTACAAGTCTCAAGTCAAACTGAAAGAATAACTGAACAATCCTCAAAGCAACATTAACAGTTTCTTCTTATAACTAAATTAAACATCCACCAAAAATAACTTTTAAGGAAAACCTCAACATCAAAATAAAACTTATCTATCTAAAAGACATGTGCTCGAATGAGAAAACTTTCATTAAATAAATAATGTATAAGTGACTATTTTCTGGATCAGTCACTTCCTAGCTCTTCCTGCATAAATTACATACATCATAGAAATATAAATAAATTCCCTAATATTATGCATACATTCCACTATCAAAAACATCCCTATCAGACCATAGAAAGAAACCAAAGAAATAGAAAAGAAGAAAAGAGTCAGCAGTCATCATTAGTCTCACAAACACTACCTTCCAACAACAACCTTGCATAATTCCATCAACCACAAAACCATGTTTACTGTTTATTGAAATAAATATTAAGTTATGTAAATTATAATAAATATATATTGATACTAAATATATGTGGAAACCATATTAATATTATTCACTCCCCAACTAGTGATTAATAACCCTAATCTGACTATACAGTTTGCCTTTTCACAATATAAGACTACCTGAAATCACTGTCTTTGAGTCACCCTTTTTTTACAATTTATGACTGACTCATGACAATCCCCTATCACAAGTCAAGTATTGAGTGAAAAACAAATACATAAATAATATCTAATGTGAATGAGTTAGCATAGCTTTAGGCTTATTTAAAGAGTTGCTAACCGCTCTGTAAAAAAAATGCTACTCGAATGTTTAAGACTACCAAAATTATGTAGGTTTTAAGGCTTATTTAACGAGTTACCTACCACCGCTCACTATTGTTCACTATGGCAATTATAAGTAAATAATTATTATAATTTTACATATATAAATAATGTTGGTTATGATATAACTTCATAAATATTTTTTTTTCACTCGAGACAGTCCCCTTACCTATCTACAGTATTCCTAACCTAATCCAAATTATTTCCATCTTTTACATTTCCATTACAGTAATCATTCCCTTGAATAACCTGCACCTAGGACACAAACTAACACAGCCTAACCTGTGGTCCGAGGGTTAGTCACCAAAATTAACTAATATTTCCTGCTAATTACATTTCCTTTTCAGTAATCAATCCATTAAATAACCTGCGCCTAGGACACAAACTAACACAGCCTAACCTGTGGTCCGAGGGTTAGTCACCAAAATTAAGTTAATCACCTACTATCCAAGCAAAATCTTAACTCACCCGAAGATTTCGGTGTCATTAATGTCGGATTATTTCAAGGACTGCGACTAGGCTCCACCACATCCATCACCAGCATCCTATCCAACTCGCGATGCAACTCCTTTAACCTATCTGGGGACATGGGGTAATAACGCTGCTTGATGGGCTTAGTATCTCGAGCATGAGACAAACTTGTGATAATAAATATTTTGTTTTTTAATTAAAGTATGGTCACAAAAAGTAAATAAACCAGTTGAGGCGCCAATGTAACGTTTTTTTTTTAGTGGTTGTCTAGATAATGATGGGAAGATTTAATAAAAGATTTATTAGCGGTTAAGAATTTGTATTTATCCCTTCAATTTAAAGTTACAATCCCTGGACTAGCTCAGATACAATATATTTTGTAATATAATAATAATAATAAGTTGGGCGCCTTGTCTGTTAGGAACAGACTGTTGTAATAATCACAATTAAGTATCTCAGGGAGTCGTGAGTACATAAGACCTACACATTACTTTGTGCGACCATAAAAAGGTTAGATAATTAAATTAATTTAAGATTATGAAAGTTATGCAATTCAATTTAAAAAATAAAGTCCAATCAGGTAGTTATTTTAAATCTTTATCACCGCAGACACCAGCCCTGTGTGCACAGGTCAGCGTTGAGCTCAGAACCAGTAGAGAAAGACAGGCCAAATGTAGTGTGTACAGCCACACTGTTGGGGGGTATGTAGGAGACCTCCTGCCAACAAACACTACATTGTAGAACTAACAAAGGCAGGGATTTCAATCCACCTACAATTATAAGATGTGAAACACTTACCAACTGGAGGTAAAAACAACATTCAATCGAGCAGCAGCTCAGACCAGCTTGCCAGCCACCTATGCCTTCAGCATCCACCTGTGATATTCGAAAAACCATACTTAGAAACACGAGACAATAAATTCTCAACCTACCTTCATGTGACATTTCTAAATACATTCACAATGCAAGACTTTTACAATTTTAGTAGGAAACCAGTGAAAATAACAGAGGATCTTACCACGAGGGATAACAAATCCAGCACAGTTTCCCAGACAGCAATCACAAATAATACGACCAGGAACGTGTTCTGATTTCAACCTCTAGCCATGCACTGCAAAAAAAAGCGAATTGATAAGAAAACGAAACGCGTAAACAAAACAACCACTGGCATGACCGAAACCAAGCAATTACTTACCAGTCGAAGATAATAGATTCACAAAAACTAATTTATCCAATGTCAATTCGAACCGGCGGCAATCTCAAATGACAAGTACCAACAAATGAACTCAACTTTTTGATTCGACCTTTCGAAAAGGCAAAGGTTCATATGACATGCAGCCTAGTCTTTAGAAAAACAACAATTTCGACAAAGTGATGAAATCACACGTTACAATATCCCCCAAGCACAAGTAAATTGATACTTTGACTTGATGATATGTTATTAAGGTATACAATGTAACGTTTCTATTTGGATGGTGTATATATGATGGGAAGATTTAATAAAAGATTTATTAGCGGTTAAGAATTTGTATTTATCCCTTCAATTTAAAGTTACAATCCCTGGACTAGCTCAGATACAATATATTTTGTAATATAATAATAATAATAAGTTGGGCGCCTTGTCTGTTAGGAACAGACTGTTGTAATAATCACAATTAAGTATCTCAGGGAGTCGTGAGTACATAAGACCTACACATTACTTTGTGCGACCATAAAAAGGTTAGATAATTAAATTAATTTAAGATTATGAAAGTTATGCAATTCAATTTAAAAAATAAAGTCCAATCAGGTAGTTATTTTAAATCTTTATCACCGCAGACACCTGCCCTGTGTGCACAGGTCAGCGTTGAGCTCAGAACCAGTAGAGAAAGTCAGGCCAAGTGTAGTGTGTACAGCCACACTGTTGGGGGTATATAGGAGACCTCCTGCCAACAAACACTACATTGTAGAACTAACAAAGGCAGGGATTTGAATCCACCTACAATTATAAGATGTGAAACACTTACCAACTGGAGGTAAAAAACAATATTTAATAGAGCAGCAGCTCAGACCAGCTTGCCAGCCACCTATGCCTTCAGCATCCACCTGTGATATTCGAAAAACCATACTTAGGAACACGAGACAATAAATTCTCAATCTACCTTCATGTGAGATTTCTAAATACATTCACAATGCAAGTCTTTTACAATTTTAGTAGGAAACCAGTGAAAATAACAAAGAATCTTACCACGAGGGATAACAAATCCAGCACTGAGTTTCCCAGACAGCAATCACAAATAATACGACCAGGAACGTGTTCTGATTCAACCTCTAGCCATGCACTGTAAAAAAGCGAATTGATAAGAAAACGAAATACGTAAACAAAACAACCACTGGCATGAACAAAACCAAGCAACTACTTACCAGTCGAAGATAATGGATCCACAAAAACTAATTTATCCAATGTCAATTCGATCCGGCGGCAATCTCAAATGACAAGTACCAACAAATGAACTTAACTTTTTGATTCGACCTTTCGAAAAGGCAAAGGTTCATATGACATGCAGCCTAGTCTTTAGAAAAACAACAATTTCGACAAAGTGATGAAATCACACGTTACAATATCCCCCAAGCACACAGAATTCACCTTGGTGAATTCACGGCTGTCCTCAGCCGTAAACTACTAAACTGAAGAAATGCAGTAAAGATCAAATATCAAAACAAATACTAAGATTTAAAAAAAAAAACTACAAGTCTCAAGTCAAACTGAAAGAATAACTGAACAATCCTCAAAGCAACATTAACAGTTTCATCTTATAACTAAATTAAACATCCACCAAAAATAACTTTTAAGGAAAACCTCAACATCAAAATAAAACTTATCTATCTAAAAGACATGTGCTCGAATGAGAAAATTTTCAATAAATAAATAATGTATAGGTGACGATTTTCTGGATCAATCACAATCAGCTCTTCCTGCATAAGTTACATACATCATAGAAATATAAATAATTCCCTAATATTCCACATAAATCCCACTATCGCAACCATCCCTATCAGACCATAGAAAGAAATCAAAGAAATAGAAAAGAAAATGAAGAGAAGAGTCAGCAGTCATCATAAGTCTCACAAACACTACCTTCCAACAACAATCTTGCATAGTTCCATCAACCACATAACCATGTTTACTGTTTATTGAAATAAATATTAAGTTATGTAAATTATAATAAATATATATTGATACTAAATATATGTGGAAACCATATTCATATTATTCACTCCCCAACTAGTGATTAATAACCCTAATCTGACTATACAGTTTGCCTTTTCAATATAAGACTAACTGAAATCACTGTCATTGAGTCACCCTTTTCCACAATTATGACTGACTCGTGACAATCCCCTATCACTAGTCAAGTATTTAGTGAAAAACAAATACATAAATAATATCTAATGTGGATGAGTTAGCATAGCTTTAGGCTTATTTTAAGAGTTGCTAACCGCTCTGTAAAAAAAAAAAATGCTACTCGAATGTTTAAGACTACCAAAATTATGTAGGTTTTAAGGCTTATTTAACGAGTTACCTACCACCGCTCACTATTGTTCACTATAGCAATTATAAATAGATAATTATGATAATTTTACATATATAAATAATGTTATGATATAACTTCATAATTAATTTTTTTTTCACTCGAGACAGTCCCCTTACCTATCTACAGTATTCCTAACCTAATCCAAATTATTTCCATTTTTACATTTCCATTACAGTAATCATTCCCTTGCATAACCTGCACCTAGGACACAAACTAACACAGCCTAACCTGTGGTCCGAGGGTTAGTTACCAAAATTTACTAACATTTCCTGCTAAATACATTTCCTTTTCAGTAATCAATCCATTAAATAACCTGCGCCTAGGACACAAACTAACACAGCCTAACCTGTGGTCCGAGGGTTAATCCTCAACAAGAAAAAATAACTCAAATAAATTGTATTTAAAACAAGAGTTATAGCAACAGACCAAAAAAACTTGTCTCTCCAGTACAGCTACAAATTGTTACCTAATCAGGCTTACAAACAAATTCAACGACGGACAATTCCGCCAACAGCAGTCAAATTATCTGCCAAGAGCAGCCAATTCTGCCAACAGCAGCCTTCAACGACGGACAATTCCGCCAACAGCAGTCAAATTATCTGCCAACAGCAGCCAATTCTGCCAACAGCAGTCAATTCTGCCAACAGCAGCCAATTCTGCTAACAGCAGTCAATTCTGCCAACAGCGGTCAATTCTGCCAACAGCAGCCAATTATTCATAAATCAGCCCATATCGGCCAACAGCAGCCAAATCTCCCACAAATCCAACCTATCAGCAACAGAATCATCAAATTAAAATACCCACTAACACAACTAACTGTAACTACCTCTACCTTATTATTACAGCCAGACAACCAGACTATAAACTTCATTCAAATCACTAATAAATTTCCTATTTACATATCTACACTCCCATTAAATTAAATTTAACAATATTTAGCCTCCTGTAAAAATACTTAATTTTTTAATTTTAAGTCTTTAATATGCCAAATCCCAGCATCTTTACCATTAACATCTACCAGCTGGTAGACCAAAGGTGATTTCTTACCTACTATTCGACATTTGATATATTTAGGAGCCAGTTTTGCTGTAAAAAATTTATCCTTCATGCTAATAGGAAAACATCTTTTCCACACAGTTTGACCCACTTCCAGCTCTTGATGCCTTCTCCTTAAATTGTAATATTTAACATTCTTATCATAAGACATTTTTCCTAACACCAGCTAATTGCTTTATTTTTATAATTCAATTTTTCAAGTTATTAAGATCTTTAAATCCTATATTATTTATGGTCGCAGTCAGTTTACACTTTTCCATTAGTAAGTTATAGTTATAATATTGTTATACCTTAATAACATATCATCAAGTCATATACATTTACAAAACTTTTTCAAACATTTAATTATTTTTGATAAAATGACTGTAAACAGAACACACAATCTTTAAATTAAGCAGCAAAGGCAGTTTCAAGCATCAGTACACTTTTATATTTTTATTTAATAGAATTTAAAACTATCCATCTGCAATAATAAAACTTAAGATAAGGTTGTCCTAAATATTGACCACATTAAATAACTTTAGTGAAACACATGGAATAATATTCCACTTAAACACACAGCAAACAGTAATAAGAGCATGAGACTAACTTGTGATAATAAAGATTTTGTTTTTTAATTAAATTATGGTCGCAAAAAGTAAATAAACCAGTTGAGGCGCCAATGTAACGTTTCTATTTGGATGGTGTATATATGATGGGAAGATTTAATAAAAGATTTATTAGCGGTTAAGAATTTGTATTTATCCCTTCAATTTAAAGTTACAATCCCTGGACTAGCTCAGATACAATATATTTTGTAATATAATAATAATAATAAGTTGGGCGCCTTGTCTGTTAGGAACAGACTGTTGTAATAATCACAATTAAGTATCTCAGGGAGTCGTGAGTACATAAGACCTACACATTACTTTGTGCGACCATAAAAAAGGTTAGATAATTAAATTAATTTAAGATTATGAAAGTTATGCAATTCAATTTAAAAAATAAAGTCCAATCAGGTAGTTATTTTAAATCTTTATCACCGCAGACACCAGCCCTGTGTGCACAGGTCAGCGTTGAGCTCAGAACCAGTAGAGAAAGACAGGCCAAATGTAGTGTGTACAGCCACACTGTTGGGGGGTATGTAGGAGACCTCCAACTGGAGGTAAAAAACAATATTTAATTGAGCAGCAGCTCAGACCAGCTTGTCAGCCACCTATGCCTTCAGCATCCACCTGTGATATTCGAAAAACCATACTTAGAAACACGAGACAATAAATTCTCAACCTACCTTCATGTGAATTTCTAAATACATTCTCAATGCAAGTCTTTTACAATTTTATTAGGAAACCAGTGAAAATAACAAAGGATCTTACCACGAGGGACAATAAATCCAGCACAGAGTTTCCCAGACAGCAATCACAAATAATACGACCAGGAACGTGTTCTGATTTCAACCTCTAGCCATGCACTGTAAAAAAAGCGAATTGATAAGAAAACGAAATACGTAAAGAAAACAACCACTGGCATGATCGAAACCAAGCAATTACTTACCGGTCGAAGATAATAGATCCACAAAAAACTAATTTATCCAATGTCAATTCGAACCGGCGGCAATCTCAAATGACAAGTACCAACATATGAACTTAACTTTTTGATTCGACCTTACGAAAAGGCAAAGGTTCATATCACATGCAGCCTAGTCTTTAGAAAAACGACAATTTAGACAAAGTGATGAAATCACACGTTACAGTGGCCCGCCCCAGCTTCGCAAGGGAATAACATGTTGTTTTGTAATTAAATCTGAAAATAGTCTTAGGAACTAAGATTTACATGATATCGCTGAGGCCTTTTCAGGATTCCGTACCCAAAGGGTAAAACGGGACCTACTACGACTCCGCTGTCTGTCTGTCCGTCTGTCATCAGGCTGGGACATCTCATGGACCGTGATAGTAAGACAATTAAAATTTGACCTGCTTGTTTATTACCCAAGGAGGGTTGACGTCAGGCACGCGGCTGGTTGTAAAAATGTAGCCAAAACCGCTAACAACATGGTTCATGTTGTGTCAACCCCACCTTTTTTTTGTTAACGTGGGGGAAATGCCTACGCATACCCACCGTCGCGGGGGCAAGAGCGGGTTATGTCGGACTCGCACCGACTAAAACCCCCACGATGTTCCACCTAGGCGAATATAGGCAGGACCCTGCCAGCGCTGGCCGCCTCAGCAGCCCCCTCCCGGAGAGCAACTTTCCTCTCCTGAAGGTAAGGCGCGCTGGAAGAACATTCAGCGCCCTTTCCTACTCGGCCACATTTTTACGACCAATGAACTCCGCCGAGTTCACTGACCAGGGCCATGGAAGCCAGGATAGCCAGTGCTAATAAGCAGCAAGCCTCCCAGCCCCCAGCGTCGGACCTTGTCTGTGGCTCCAGCGCTCACCACGTTTCGGCCGCGGAGGGAATTTTGTTCCATAATTTCTATCGCGCCAAACGAAGTCATTTTATAGAGGCTATTGTACTTTCGGATGTTGGTTAAAAATGTCCAGATGGTGAATGATTATTTGTCAAAAGATTTTTTATTGGCTGTGGCGGCTCCTCAATATTGGGGAGACTAACTTTCCCAGAAGCACAGCACATACCATTTGGTTCATCGGCTCATTTTTTGGCAGAACACTTAGAGCAAATCTTTTTCATGGCTCCGATTTGGACGGAATACTGTTGACTATAATGTATGAAAGCTGATCAGTTACTGTGAGCTAAAACTCGATTACGAACTGTAGTCGTTGACGTTTGTTGTCTTTTTCTCTGATCTTGTAGGCGTTGGGAACGCTTAGAGCTCGATTCCCTGGTGTGAGTTTATGTATTTCTAATATTTTGCTCTTCAAGCCGCTGCAAACACTCTACTCGAACCCCAACAACAGCCCTCGCCTGGGAACTATTTCTAGAAATATGAGATCTTGATCTTTTGGCCATTTTAAAAAAATAAAAAAAATTAACCTGCCTTTGTACTTAATTACTTGCTAACTGTTGAACGGGAAATACCAGTAAAATGTGATTAAAAATTATAAGAACTGCTAAGTCAGTCACTAAGCTGTTTGGATAGTTAAATTACAAAATACTAACATTTTTAAACTTGTGATATCTTTCGAATGGAATGTCCGAATTTAATAATTCAAAAAGTTATAAAAAGATATTGAAACAGTCTGAAATATGAAGTAAATTATTTTTAAAAGGATTAACACTAAGATACAAATAAAGAGCCTTTTCTAGCGGCAGCAATTCAATCAAACTTTTAAAATAAAAAAACACATATTGTGGCATAACTATAATAGTTAGACATATGCTATCGCGACACTTTTTGTAAATCATGATGTGTTCTGCAAAGTCATAGTACATTATTTTATTCTATCATCAATAGTTTTCGCAGCGCACGCGATGTAAAGAATATTTTAGGTAATTTTTGTACACTTTTGGTTACATTATTGAAGTTTTAGTAAGGATCCCTATTTTTTTTTTAAATATCATATAGCCTATATCAACCGGGGATAATGTAGCTTCCTAACAGTGAAAGAATTTTTCATATCGGTTCAGTAGTTTCGGAGCCAATTCATTACATACAAACAATCAAATCTTTCCTCTTTATAATATAGAAGATTCCAACTCACCGCATCAATGTTTGATATTGCTTCAAAGTATTCAGTGAACATTATTTTTTCAAAGACATATAGACAGGTAAATCTCTAATCTTAGCACAATATAATTAACTCATTCGAAATGTACACGTAACAACACAAATGTCTACAAAATTTGTTGATTCATATTAAATTTGATTTTATTGTTGACAGGAATTTTGCGGGCGCTGTTAACGCTACTGCTATAGCCGGAGTTTCACACGAACTGCGATACAACTGTACCGACTTCGAGCTGGCGACCGCCGTGATCTTCGTGGAGCGGTGGATGGGTGAGCGGCGCACGCTGCTGGCCGCGTGGCGTCTAGAAGAGGGCAGCGTTAAAGTGCTCCTGGACGGCGGTGCCGTATGCGATCCCACCTTCCGCGACCGGAATGTCTGCCTCACCACGTACTCGGGGGATGCTTTCGTGCCCAATTGTCACGATTTTATATGGCTTTCGCTGATAATTATAATCGCCGTGGCGCCGCTGGTGTTGTTTTACGCGCGTCGCGCCCGGCTGCACAGTCTTAAACTACGCGACCTAGCGCTACTCGAACAACTGCTAGAACAGCGTAAGAGCAACTCTCGAAAGTTTGCTTCGCACTTGGTTTCGCGCGATGAGTTTGAATTACGAGAGGAATTGGGATGTGGTGCGCACGGGCACGTGCGCGTGGCGGTGTTGCGGCGCCCGCGCCAGCCGCCGCTGGCCGTGGCGGCCAAGATGCCGGCCGAGGAGCGGCTGCAGGACGAGGCGGACCTCATTCGCGAAGCGGGCGTCTTGGCTACACTCAAGCACAAAAACGTAGTCCGCTTCCTGGGAGTTTGCTTAGATGGACCAGCATTATTTTTTATGGAATATGCATTTTTTGGCGATTTGCGGAATTACTTGCGCACGCGGCGACCACTCGCCGAGTTCGCTTACAGGAGTTGTGCCACTAATGGCATCCCGGACGGGCACGATGTGGCCGAAGCGATTTACGTTTCTGCGGCCGCGCTGACGCAGCTGGCCCGGGACGCCACTGCCGCTCTGGACTACCTATCGAAGCGGCGGATCGTTCATCGGGACGTCCGAGCTTCCAACTGTTTGATCGACGAAACACGCACGCTTAAACTCGCGGACTTCGGCTTGGCACGCACTCTCTCCGATGAAGAAGAGGAGTACACCTATCAGCATCTGAGGCGCCTGCCACTTGCCTGCATGGCGCCAGAGAGCCTAACGCACGGTGTTTTCTCTACGGCATCAGACGTGTGGGGTCTGGGTGTACTTATGCTAGAGCTGGTGACACTCGGAGCTCCACCATACGGTGAGGCGAAACCAGCAGAAATTATGGATCGAATTCGCGCCGGGGGGCATCCGCCGTTGCCGCCGGCCGTCAATACGCTCACGTTGGTACACTTCTGTACTACTTCAATTCCTATCAAATCACAACCCTAATGGTGCTTCGTGAGTGAATATGTCGTTGTTTGTTTGCAGGCACGAGCTGCTGACGCAGTGTTGGCGGCTCTGTCCCTGCGAACGCCCGAGCGCTGCTCAGTTGGGTTCTTTCATGGACATTCACGTCGCCGCCCTCGCTCCTACATGTTGTAATCCACTTTGTGTCATTTAACCGGAATGCAAGCGGACTTTTTACACTCGTTTTTAACCACTATGTAAAGGACGTCAAAGGAGGTCATGAACGTACGACAACTATTCATCTACAAAACAGTCCTAATGCAACACAAGAAGAAGTTAAGTTAAGTTAAGTTTCCTACGACTACAAAAAATTTATAGAAATATAAATATTGTGTTTAATTTTTAGACTTACTACGCTCAGAGTTAACTCAGCTTTCGTTAAAGTTTAAATTTTTATACTTCTTAACTCCGTTTATTTACAATAAAATTGCAGCAAAACTTGACCTAGAAATAGGTATCTACATGCTATGAAAAGAACAAACTTAATTTTAAGAATTTTTCTTCTTAGTCTATCATATAAGGAAACAGAGAATATTTTATCGTTATTGTTAATATGATAATTGGCAATAATTATAATTTACATTTGTGAATTTTTACTTTGTACTTCAATAAACTTTATTATTATTAATAAAGAAATTTTTATTTGACTTTGAGTTTGAAATACGATACTAGCACGGTTGAAAGAGAACTTTAGTAGCATTATATTAAAATTTATCAAATCAAAGACAAAAGTAATCGCATCAAACTTGTATAGTATAATTATGTTGTTATTTTAAAATATGCCTAATATATATTAAGGACATCAAAGTAGAACAGTAGAACTAGGTTCTCGGAACCTGAAGGTTCAATGGGATATGCAAAGATTCAATCCGTGCGGCCGCAAACTGTGTTATCACAGTCAAATGCTGGATATATTTTTCGGTGTTTTTGAAAGTATTTGAAGATTACTTGTGTTTAATCTTAATTATGTTGAATATTAAAGCTATGTTCTATTGCTATCGGTGCTCTCAAACACAAGATATGCGAGTACTAACAAACCACAGGGTCGATTTGCAATGACAGCATGTAGGTATAAGTTCCTCGCAATATTTAAGTTTCGTTCGATCGCCATCAGTTCACTCAAACATACCTACCTACAGTATAAATTACTGGTTGAATTTAAACAATTAACTTAGTAAATTGATTTTTTCAAATAACATAACTCGCAATACAAATAAAATACCTTCCATTTTACAAAATGTGCTATCAGCGGTAGAATTTTAATTACGATAACTTGAATTTTCACTTTAATCATAAAAAAGTTGTATTTAACTAATTCAATTAATAGAAATAAAATCCAGTAAGAAATTAGTTTCTGCGGAACAAACTAGATGCGCTATAGCTATTTTTTCTAGAGTTTACTTAAGGGACAAGCGCATTATAGGAATAATATTGCGAATTTCTTCCATTAAGATTACGATAGATAATAATAAATAATAAGATATTACGATTTTTTTTGAAGAGCGGTCTGAACTAGCTCATTTCGGACAGTGAACTAGTTCATTCTTTTAGTTCAATAAGCTCTTTTCGGTCTTCGGATTTTGTCAGATAGATCTAGAATCTATGATAAAGATGCAACCTATTGTGTCACTATGGTGATCCGTAGAGTTAAGAATCTAAAGCCATAAGATTATCAAATATCATACTGTATCTTAGTCTATGTACTGAACAACATAAATATAATGAAAATTCAAAAGTTTAGAATGTGCATAAATTTGTTTGTTATTCAGCCATTCAATTATGGATCAAAATATTAGTCCATACTTTATAGCAATGAGTTGGTCAAAAACGAAACAATAAAATAAGAATAATGTTAGTCACAGTAAGATTATTTCCTTTAACACAAAAAATAAAAAGTTACATATATTTAAATTTTACAACGTTTGAAACTTCCCATAACCATCCACAGCATGCAAAAATAAAAAAAATTACAAAACCACAATTAGTATATTTAAAAAGTACAAACACCATTATATTTTAACTATCTTACAAAATTTGACTTGTTCGATAATAATAGTCATGTACCTACTTGTTATATAGACAATAAATACGAGTCTCTCGCCTTTTCGCGTCGTTAAGCAAAAATAGTCGTTACTACATTGGTATACAACAAAAATATCTATACTCATCACAGTTTAACCGATTTTTTCGGTCAGTAACTCTAACACCGTAATTCATCGAGTCTCCACCGATATACTCTTTTACTCGGTCACCGCTCACCGATCGACTCTCTCTCTCTCTCTCTCTCTCTCTCAGTCTCAGTGATCAGTCTCGTTCGTTTCGTTCGGTACCGAACCGATGAATTGTGTTGGTAGTTGTATGCAAAGAACGAAAGAGTTAATAGACCGATTAACATTTATCATTCCGAAACGTTTATTTTAGTACATTGCAAAGAAGCGTTTCCTAATCGTTCATCGTTCGCGATCGACACAAGACTAGTATACGGATAGCCTTGCTTTGCGATTTAGGGGGCGGCAAATTAGTGGGATGTTTCAGTATCCACGCTTTTCACATCTCACTTCTTCGCGTAAGCGACATTCCTTTAAAATATAGTAAATCTAGCGAGCCTCATGAGTATATTGTTAGAAATAAGTTATAAAACATAACTTTTACCAATTGATACAACTATAACTCCACAATGACTCAATAATTGGATAACAATAATACTTAGCTTTTCCAGCAGAGCAATAACCAATAACCAATTATGAGCCCGTGTACGTTGTGATGTTTACTAGATGTAATAAACGCCAGTTCAGGTGCGATCTACCTGCAACAGTTGGAGAACAATCTATCAGATCATAAACCAACTTTTCATTATTTCAAATTTATAAGAAGTCTTATTGTTTATTGTTTTTAATTTTTTTTATAAAATTATTTATTTGTTCAACCTAAAACAAAAATTAATCTTTTACGAACACGAAAAATAATTGTTTCGTCATTTTTTTTTTTCATTAATTTGTATATTTTCCACATTTATGAAATAAAAACAAAATAATTAATTAATTAACAAATTAAAATTGGAAAAAGGTGTACCACTCAATAAGGTTTGAACTTGGGACTATTGTATTTGTTCACCTACCATGATGCTCGGACCACTAGGCTACATGATGTCTGCGGAAGGTTATCGTTTATCGTTAGGCGTTTATCGATATAAGGAATTTTATCGATATTTTTTTAAATATCATAACATTGAGGAATTTACATAAAATAGTAAGTCTTTAACATTTAAAAGATAAATTAAAGATATTATCAGTTTAAGAAAATATGTAATAAAAAAGTCGTATTCGTAATTTCTGCCGTGGAGACCATGAAATTGCTTAACATTATTATGAGCTATTAAATTAAATCAAAATAAATAATTATTTGTTTATTTATTGTTTTGTTGTAAGAAATGTCATTGACCTTTATTAATCTATTTGACCTTAAGATGTATTTTTAATCAATTCTAATCAGTTTCTTGATAATTTAAAACAATTAATAAGATTTTCTAAAATTATTGATTGCTTTCTCATACTTTATATTTTTTGTTTATTACTATTCCTATATTAATATAAAAGTAAAATACAATCATGGTCAATAAAAGATATTATAGGGATCATCTGTGTACATTTTCGAAGCCTTCTACGATACTATCGATAGTATCCTACGGCCTACCACTACATACACACTAGGTAAAGAATGACTTGGTTCACGCGGCGCGTAGACGAAACTCGCGCGCTGCGCCCCGCTAAGCGGGGTTACCTCTCCTCCACTCCCTTGCTTCGCCACCGAAAAAGTTAAAAATTCAGTGCACACAGCGCCTTAATGTAAAATAATACTCGACCACACGCCGATGCTCACTCAAGTTCAATGATATCTTGAAGAGGTTGGAAAATGAAATACGTACTTTTAAATTTAATTGACCAACTGTTGTTAAAACAAATTACTCCTAAGGGAATCCAAAAACCCACTAGTAACATTCACTAAATTTAAACCGAAACCTCTTAAAGGAGAAATATTTAGGAAGTTTTGGTTTGAATTTACCTCCAAAACGACTTCAATTGTAAATTTTTTCTTACTAAATTTGGGAAAAAAACTCCTTAGCTCCGTCCTTAAATCCGTGGTATCAAGAACTCCTGCGTCCAAAACAATAGGGGCACTAACACTAGCACTGAATAAAGATTAAGAACAAATTCCCTAATATCGTTTAAACGCTCTTATATGGTATATGCTATGCACATTTAAAGCAGTAATAAGTGCACGTGTAGGTAGAACACCTTATTAAAAGAAAAAATAAACTGTTTCACATCACTTATTTTAAACTGCCAAAGCCAATTGATGAATAGAATTGATTTTGTTCTTACTTATCGTTTTACTCCAAAAAATGATATTAGTATATAACGCCATTCATGGACATCAATATACTTGAGGGTTTGCAGATGAGATAGCTGTGAGGTCATCGGCCGCCTAGCCTAGTTGGTCAAATGTCTGGGCGCGAAACCAAAAGTCGCAGGTTTGAATCGGGCAGCGCCCATAATTACTTCCTATTTATCTACAAAAATTTATAATTTTAAATTTTTGGTAAAATTTTCCATTCGCGCGGTGTTTTTTGTGCCTAAAAAAATTTCTTCGGTATAGAAAAATCACTAAAGGAAAAATCAACAGGCAGAATTTTCGGGTCGCTTATAATTTTCGAGAAAAATATATTAAAAAAGTTGTTGTTTTCGCTAGAGAAATCCGCCATCATCCACCATAATAAAAAAGTTTTTAAAAATACTAAAACTACTGTTGCACTGACGTTCTGCGTGGTCATAAAAAATAACCACGAAGGCTGTGGCTGGAGCTCCCCTTAACCTTAACCTTCTAATTAACCTAATCTATTCGAGTCGGATTGGTCTGTGTTGGATCTGTAATCCATTAAATTTTTCAAAAAATTTACATACATACCAACCAATAAATACAGGTTGGGGTAACACAACTACTCTTGTCAATTTCGTACTATTCGTCAATCAATGCATGAATTGTCATTGCCATTTGTCATTTGTCATACTTACGCGTCATAATAAGAGTAAATTATAAGTATCGAGTGCATACAAAATATCATTAGTGTTTAGCTGTATAATAAATAGGTAGTCTTTGAAGATACTTTTTGTTCACGGCGAATGTAATTAGTTAAAATGGGTATTTTCACTACTTCGTCCCCTTTTGACCAAGACGTTGGTAAGTATTAATATGTTATCATGTTTACTTTCTTTGTTTTGGTTCTATATGTTTTAAGACATTATAATTCGAGGTAACAAAGTTAATACGTTATTACAGATATGTACAGAGAAAGCTTAAGACATTCGTAAGAATATATGATATGTAACAACGACACTGCGTTTGCAGGTTTTCCTTTGCGCAATATATCGTGTTAATGTCATAAACCGATTTTAATGCTTGAGATAGATTAATAGATTATAATATGTCACAGATTGTGGTGTATCTTTTTAATATTTGTTGACAAAGCAACTGAAAGAAAGTACATTGTTCAATATGTATATACTATGTAGATTATACTATAACAACATAGGATGGATACATTGACACTTGTGATCTAATTTTTCTAAGGAAGATTTAATAAAGACTCCTACTGGGGTTATTGATGAATATACATTAATATAGTGAATAGGCTGTTACTGAGCTAGTGTGTTTACCATCTATGATTACTTATATCTTTTTTTACCATCATGTGAAATGATAGTCAAGGCACTGGCCAGTTTTTCGGTAGCAGTTTGAGTAGCAGTATACATGCAGCAGTGTACTGATACTAAATACCAGGGCTCCACAAACTTTGATCATTTAGTAGAATCATTTTAGAATCATAATGAAGACAACATTATTTCCTCAAAATTCCTTTTCTTAAAATTTATAATTTTATAGTAATGTATACACTTGTCAAATTAGATATATAGATATTGAATTTTTACTTAAAATTTTATTTTATAAGAATATGTCCCAACCACGGTATCAAAGAAATAGATATATGTAATCAAATATGTATATTATAATATATATTTTACTTAAGGTGTACTTAAGGTATTTTTGGGGGTATGACCTACAAGATGTCAATCTATTAAACAATTTTTAATTAAACATCATTATAAAATTAGATTATCTTCTATAGATATTATTGTGGTAACACCAAAGAAAATCTCCCTTAATCCTTTGTGTATATTACACATATATTACAAATAAAACAAAATACAAACTTGATTTCAAACATTTCATAACTTCTGCTACTGATGAGAAATAAAGAAATCAATTAATCTCTCTGTTAATAAATGAAAAGTTATAAAGTGGTTATTAAGAGTCTTTCTTCTGTGTTCATTATCCTCTCTGTGCGCAAATCTCGACATCTTACCTTTTTTGTTTGGAACACCAGTAGGGTTGCAGGTGCATTGCCACCTTTTGATAAAGTGGGCCCTGGCTACTCACAAGACGAAACACAGAAGTATAACACTTCTACTTTACGCCGATCTTCTGAGAGGTCTTGGTATTCGCCCCCATGGACCTGCCCATTTGTGCAATAGTGAGAACTATTGTGTGACCGTACCACTGTTAAAATGTCTTATCTATTTTGTTCTTATTGCGTTTATAGATGGCGCAAAGCATTGCTAAAAATGCAATATGCACCTTATTAGCTTAGTGGCTAGAGCATTTGGAAGGTGCAGATTAGAATCCGGCAGTGAAAAGTTTTTTGATAATTTCTCTACTTGTTTTAAATTTCATCTTAAGTGTGTACAGTAATGGAATGAAACAGTTTATCAACTTTAGTGTTCCCCTCTGATTATAATGTCAGTGCCTCCAAAGTAAAAATGAACAGACTGTTCATCAGGTAGTGTGTTTACCATCTAAGATTAAATCTTACTTACCATCAGGTTAGATAATAGTATTAGCCGGTTTTTAAGGAAAAAAGTGCAGAAGTTATTAGTTTATTACTATCAAGAGTAATAAAGAATAATAAAAAGCAATAAAAATGAGTGCATTTAATTTTTAAATATCATTGAAGTTAAACTTCTTTGACTGTTTTGGCACATGTTATCAAAAATTTATATGTATATAAAAGTAGATACATACTCGGTAGTTATATTTATTATGTCTGATCGAATCAGAATTAGCATCCGAAGCTGAAACTATAGACATGTAATAATTTTTATTGTATATTGGAATACTGTGCGTAGTTTTATATAAATTTATGTTATAGTTAATTCATATAGAAAGAACCAATAAAAAAAAAAGCGAGTATGAAAAATATGGGATAAAAATATCATTTTCTCTAAAAAGAATCATACAGCTGGTCCTCATTTTAAAAAAATAATCTGTCCGTTATATGGACCTGAAATATCAATAACTTGGCCACGACAAACTGTTTTTATTTTTCGTAAAAGTTAACTATTTTCACCTTATTTCAACTCTGTACTATTTTACAACAAAATCGACTAAACTACCTACCAGCTGCAGCAGCGTTGATCTTATCTTTCATCAGTGACGGGCTAAGCCCTACTGAGGCGCGGAGCGGCAAAGCAAAATGAGGCCCCTAGTTTAAGAAGTTGATCTAATTTTACAAGCTTTTTACTTAAACTTTTCACTTCATATTTGCATAAGCGTTTTTTGAAATTTAAATTGGATTTAGACAAATATACATAAAATATGGATATGAATGAGGAAAGTAAATATGGATTGATCGACCGAAATTCAATTAGTAAAAATAAAGTAATAGATACTTTTTATTACCAGTAGCTTTGTGTGTTTTGAAAGAATTGATGATTGCTCTGAAGTTATTGAGGAGTTCAGTAAAGTGATGGCACGTAAACACAAATAATATGCTTTAATTGTTACATACTTACATACATGAGATATCCTTTAGCAAATGGCCGTGGATAGTAAAAAATACGAAGTGGAAAGCGTAAGCGGAAAGACCTTAGAAATATTAGCAGCAGTGGTGTAGCTTGCTTTAGAATGGCCCTGTATCAAAATGTGTTGGGAGAACAGGATGAAAAATGTAAAGAGGTTTTATGAAATAAACAAAACCTTCTATCTAACAAAACCTAAGATTTTCTAAAATTGTTGATTGCTTTCTCATACTTTATATTTGTTTGTTTATTTTTATTCCTAATATAATATAAAAGAAAAGACAATCATTGGCTATAAAAGATATAGTGATCATCTGTGTACAATTTCGAAAACCTCCCACGACACTATCGATAATATCCTACGTCCCACCACTAATAGGTATTGAATGAAGGTCACGCGGCGTGTAGACGAACCTCGCGCGGTGCGCCCCGCTAAGCTACAGGGGTTACCCGTTCTCCACTTCCCCATACTTTGGGGTGGTCCCAAATGGTTAGAAATTCACTGCATACAGCGTCTTAAATGTCTTCTGTCAGTAAGGAAAGGGACGAAAATCTAAATTGTCATTTTTTGAAACGGAGTTCCTGAACGCACCCGCGGGAGAGCCCGTATTGATTAGAAATTGTAACGTAAAAAATAAAATAAAAGAAAATGATTAATAAAAGAAATGAAAGAATCATTAAACAGGTTAAAAAAATGATGACAGAGCGAGCGACTAGCGAGAACAACACTAACGAGGAGTGGGGCCTGATCATGGAGATATGTGACCGTGCGGGCGCGTCGTCGCAGAGCGCACGCGAGTGCCTTCGCGCCGTCATGCGGCGGCTCGGGCACGCCGACCCGCACGTGCAGGTGCACGCGGCCACGCTGCTCGACGCGTGCGTGGCCAACTGCGGCCGCGCCTTCCTGCTCGAGGTGGCCTCGCGCGACTTCGAGCTCGAGTTCCGGCGACTGGTGGCGCGCGCCCAGCCGCCGGTCGCTCAGCGGCTGCGCGCGCTGCTGCGCAAGTGGGCCGACGGCGAGTTCCGCGACGACCCGCAGCTCGACCTCATCCCCTCGCTGCACGCCAAGCTGGCCGCCGAGGCCGGCGAGCGGCAGCCGGCGTCGGCGCCCGCCACCGCCACCGCCGCCGCCGCCGCCACCGCCTCCGCCCCCGCCTCCGCCTCCGCCTCCGCCTCGGCCGCTCAGCGCGAGCAGGACGAGTTGGCGCGCGCCA